CTATTAAATATCATCTCTTAAAAATTATTTTATAAATTAATTAAGTGAAGTTTCGAGTTATTATAAGTTTAAATTTTACAGTAAAAAAATCACGTAAATATACACACAAAAATGTTAAACAATCCAAATGAATCTAAATAGAGATATAAATGTTTAACCCTCAAAACCAATTGTTTTTCATAGTAAATATCATTTACCATATACAATATATACATTTTAATTTTTTTTAAAAAATTTCTTTTTTTTTTTTTTGAAATTTAGGTTTTCTGATGAGGAAATTAAGAGAAACAAGTTGATGAGTTGGGAATCCTTAATATAAGTCTTTAAAATAACCGTACATTATGGGTCATCAATGCTTGAACTCCTGAAGTAGATGCTTGTACAAACGCATTGAATGAGCTTGTGTCGTCATAATTTATGAGCTTTAACTGAATTCGTCTTTATCATGGTTGTATAATCAATGGAACGGCTGGGCTATGTAGCTGGATTTGCCTTTCCCATCCTTTTCTAAGATTTTTTCAATGGGTAAATTATACAAAATTATTTTGAAATTTGAGGCGGATTAAAAGTGACTCTTAAATTTTAAAATCAAATGAAAATTTAGCACACCCAAACTCAAATTTTGGCCCATAATAAAAAAATTCATACACAATATTTAGTAAATACAAACTCAAAAATTGAAATCCGAATAGCTTAATTTTTATAATCAAGTAGTCAACAAAGACAGCAAATAATTTTCAACAAATCAAACCAACATATAAACAATTTAGTACACATGAACCCAAATCTTGTACACAATCAAAAAATTCATGCATAATGCCCCATAAATCCAAACCAAAAAATTGAACCAAAGCCTAAATAAAAAAAAAATTTATAAAGAGAAATCCAACAAACCCATAATTCAAACATCTAATCAAATAGACAATACATAAAAAATAAAAAGGGTTCTTTTTGAATTTTTTGGATGCTTTGAATCAGTGGCTTGAAGGCTAATGGAGAGAATTAAATAAATAAATAAAAAGAGTGAGTTATTGGAGAAGAATAAGGAAAAAAAAAAATTTTAATGGAAATAATGAAAAAAATCATGATTTTAGACAAAGAATAAATAAAACTAATTATAGAGTAATTAAGTATCACATTTTAAATTTTAAAGGCTACTTTAAATTCATCTCAAACCATCAAATGATTTTATGTAATTTACCTTTTATTAATTTAACAATCAAAATTTAGTTTAAAAACTTTATAGTTGTTATCTTTTATTCAAATCATTATAAGTTCAGAGTTTAAATCTCGTATTTTTTTTAAATCCTTCATATGTAATAAAAAAATCTACAATTTATTTTAAGGTTTTATTAAAGATAATGCATATAACTAACGATAAGCTTGTATAACATCCTTTCAATATAGCTAAATAGAAAAATTAATATAAAAAAAATGATATTAGCTAATCATGTTAGGTCTAATTACTTCTATTTTTTGAAGAGATAGATTAAATTCCAATTTTTAAAGCTTTTCTTTTCTCTAAAGTTTCATTTCTTAAAACATCAATACATTTAATTTAATAATTGATTTATGCTTCTTTTTCTTATCAAATAACTGGTTAAATCTTTCAAACCCAATATATAAAAAAATTTTCATTTCCTAAAATATATGATCAATGATATTTGATTGAAATCATCAATGATAAACCAAGGTAAAGGCACATTATCAAACTTATCAAAATCTTTAAGGTAAATCCATGGAAATAACCGGTTGGATGATGTGGCAATAAATTGCTCATCGTTCGAAATGAATAAATTTTGTTATATTTATAATTTATTTATTTAATTAATAAATTTTAAAATATTATTTATAATCATTTGTTAAGTTTAATTAACAAATATAAATAAATAAAAATTAAGCTTATTTATGAAACTGTTTCTTGAATATTCTCTTTATTTATAGGACCGGCTTTTAGATGTAAAAATATTTTTTAAAAAAGTAATTATATTTTAAATATACAATAAATACTCACTTTCAAATTAGAATTAAAAAAATTATTATATTGAAAAATCTATTTATAATAAATAAATAAATATAAATTTTTATTCAAATAGTCATAATTATTTATATAATCATAACTTATATAAATAATCATTTTTTTGTATTCAAATTGTTATAACTATTTATAATATAATAATTATTTTTGTTCAAAAATTTATTGAAAATATAAATAAATATTATTAATTTATAATATTCCAAAAAATAATTAATAAATTAATAAAAATATAAATCTATTTATCAAATAAATCCAAATGCTTAAATGCCCAATCTTTGACCTTTAACATTTTTAAGCCTATAAGAAAATTTTTAACAAATCCAAATGTCTTGATTGATTCCAACACTAAGTCCAATTATTAAAAACACATGAATCTATTTTAAATCACACTTGTAAGTTATCCCTTCCTATGCTACGAAAATTGAGTGGAGAGAAATTTTTTAAAATTTATTTTCAATTAATAGATTTAATTATTAAATTATTTAAAATGATCTTTAAGTGGATATGTCTATCTCATTTTCAAATTTTTTTAATAAAAATTAAACTTGTTTGTAAAATATCCATATTCTCTTAGTTTTTTTAATCGTTTGAAATTATTAATATTTTAAATAAAATTTATTATTATGTTTTTAATAATTAAAAAAGTATTATATTATATTAACATTTTATATCATATCCAATCGATGTTGTTTTGCACCTTAACTAAATTTTAAAAAAATGTGAAGGCCTAATTGCTTAACAAAAATAAAGCAATGAAACCCTCGATCAAGGCCAAAAATAGTAAAAATTAAAAGACTTTTTTATATTATTATAAAATTATAATTTTTTTTAATTATTGATTTTAATATATTTAAAGATGAAATTAAATCAGTTTTATTTTTTTTTTTCAAAAACAGAAAACAAACACAACCTACTAAACATGTTTTTATTTTCATTTTTAAAAAAACTAAAAACGAAAATAAAAAACAAAAATGTGAAACAAAAACAAACGACCCCGTCAGTCTGCAAAATAAATTTGATCTTCTCCATTTTACCTGCTCATATTTCAATGAATCAAAGAAAGCCGGGCTATGCTGAATCGAAGATTGACCAAGGTCAACCACCATCACCTCCTCCTGGTCCGATGATACCTCGTTTTGCTTATTTGGTTATTGGATCAAAAGGTGACCTGGAAAAAGCTTTGGAGAACGCTTCATGTACTGTATCATCCCAGGAACCAACATGTGGTCCATTTGGACCTTGAGGCACCTGCTGAGGAAAGATTGGCACTTGCCATCCGAATAAAAAACCATACAGTTTTCTCCGAAGTTGGGAATGTTTATATGATCACCAAGGCTAATATGGTTACTTATAAAGGTCCCACCATGGTTGCTAATACTGTCCATGCTTGTGCCATTCTTCTCAAGAGATATAAAGATTGGGATTGGTTTATCAATCTCAGTGCATCAGATTATCCTCTTGTGACTCAAGATGGTTAGTCTGTCACTGTCATATGCTTTATTTCTTCTCTGGGGTGCTAAATCTTTTCAGGTATTCAGTTATTCAGTTATTCGATTCTGCACAAACCGCCATGGATCAATTGATTTGTAATTTGCAGATCTTCTATATGCATTTTCGGCTTTAAACAGGAACCTTAATTTTATTGAGCACACATGCCAGCTTGGTTGGAAAGCGTAAGCTCTCACCCTCTTTCCCTCTCAATCTAAAATCTTTATATATGTCAAATGCCATAATATTTTGCCTGTGTTTGTGCAGAGATAAAAGAGCAATGCCATTGATTATAGATCCTGGACTCTATATGTTAACCAAGTCTGATGTATTTTGGGCCACAACTAGAAGAACATTACCTGCAGCATATATTGCAGCCCTATTCGTGTGTTAGAAATTGAAATGGTAAATTTGTTTTGCTTTACAAAATTGGTGGTTAACTGTTTAATAACATAATCTTTTGTTCCAGGTTCAGCATGGACAGTTTTCTCACTTTCATTTGTAGAGTTCTGTGTTTGGGGTAGGGATAATCTCTACTTTCAGACTGTCATATACAGTTCCAGAATTTGCCAAGACTGTTGTCAATCATGATTTGCATTATATTTCGTGGGACACTTCTCCAAATACCCTTAATGACACGAACAAGATAATTAGTAGTAATGCTGCTTTTGCTAGGAAATTCAAGGAAAATGATCCTGTCTTGGATAAGATTGATAAGGATTTGCTTGTCCGGGCAAAAGGAAGCCTCACCCCTGGTGCTTGGTACTCTGGCAAACCAAAATGTTCAGAAGTTGGGGACTTGAACAAGATCAAGCCAGGTTCAGGAGCACAAAGGTTTCACTAACTCATAGCCAGGTTAATTATGAAAGCTAATCTTGGTCAAGATCAGTGTAAATAGGTTTCATGACGAGGAAGTTCAGTCAATGAGGCAGACAAATTCTGAAAAAATTGTATCTGTGGAATTGCTCATCCGGCCTAATCTGGATTATAATTGAAGGTAAATCTTAGTTTTGCTGCAGCCACAGGAATTCAAAATTATAGCCATGTTCAGGATAAAAAATGGTACTCAATACCCTACTTTGGTAGACTCTAATTCAACCCAAAAAAAGCTATATACCTCCATATCTTGGAATTATTCAATATTTTTCTTTCACAGAGCAATAATTTTTTTATATATTGTTGTTCATAAACTGGGAAACTCTTGATGTTGAAGTTCCTTCTTATTATGGTTTGATCCCGAGATTCGATATTCTGCTAATTATCTCTCCGCATTATAGGTGGCAATTGGATGAGTGGCGTCAGATCATTTTGGTTATGGATACGGATCATTTCAAGTTTAACACTTTGAATTATTCGAATTCCATTGATTCATTTCAGTTCAGATTTGGTTCCGATGGATCAAACTTTTTTATTTTTTTAACAGAATCAGATTGATTTGAGTTCAAACTTGAGTTACCATCTTTGCATGCTGCTCCACAGATGTTCGATGCCATGAAAAAAAAAAGATAAAAGTACCTTTGGTAATAATGTTCTGCCATTTTGCTAAACAGTTGCAGAAGCACAAAAACATTTATAAATGACTCCACCAAGAAATGGCAAACTGTGATGCATCAGAAAATTAATTATACTTTAAAAAAATGACTATGAACTATAAGCATTACAAAATATACAACAGGACTGATTTTTATCCCTTTGTTCTCTGAATTTTATCTACGTATATATTTGTTCAAATCATTCTCACTCTCCATTCAATTGCATCCGCTATCATCTACAGCCAAATTTTTTTTGCTCAAATGTTATATCCTTTAATCTTCTCCAATGTAAGATACCGGCACTTATTCCTTCAACGTCTGCATGGAGCACCGATTTGCTTGTGTCTCTGCTTAAATCATGGATGATTTCAAAAAAAGAGACCAAACTAAATCATCTCCAAAATTTTGATATTCCCAGTAGAATTTGCAGCAACTAGGGTAGAGGACTGGCCACGCCAACAAACCGAAGAGATAGACTGCATAGCATCATCCATTTCATGTCCCGAAAGTGGATCCATGTTGAACTTGAATGTCAATGCCGGCATTGGAAAAGCCTTATGGTATATGAATACCTATACAATAGAGTATCTAGTGAGTGCTAAATACAATAAATATGTACAATATCATGTTCAAAACACATGGTGGAAAACATACTACAGAAGATTGACATTGAATTTGAAGGTAGCAAGTGCAGGATGACAGCTTTTTCAAAGCTAATTTTTCAAACAAGAAAATGATTCCATCATGCACCAGATTATGGAGGTAATGAGAAGCCCAACAAACTACAGCTACTAATGCATGTTTGTCTAACTATATAACGAGAGAATATATGGATTACCTCATTAGTTTCTGAGCCAGTAGCAATGTAACCATCAGATACTGACAAGCCGACAAAGTTCTGCAGCAAGTAGAATATGCATCCACAATATGAAGTACATCAGCCAAAGGGAATAATCTCCCATGAGCATTTATGTTGATGGCTAGTCATTTGCCATGTAAATTTGTCACTATTTCATACGTTAATTGTAACATATGCAGCTACCAAAAGGAAGCATGTGCAAGAAAGATATATGACTTTAAGGCAGCCTCTTTTGTTAACATTGCCAACTAGCAAAGTGGTTCCCTTTTAGCACATAACAATAGAAGCTTTGAGGCAAAAATATATTATCATAATTATTTTGAATAAATACATACAATGAATTTCGGTGTTAGTTTGGTTCATAGCTTGGACTTAACACTATTAGGACAGATTCCAAACTCAACAAAAAATGTTCAGAAATAGACAAATAATGTTCATATTCTGGAATCCTTTCCACCAGCTGTTGTGCCTAGGAAAATGTTAGAGTGAGCTTTCTTCTCCATGCAATAAAGCAGATTTTTAGTTATTAACGTTTAACTAACTTAAAACCAATTATCTATTTCAATTCCTTCCTTAAATTTATGAATTTCTCAAACAAAAGAAGATTAACCATGCAAGTGTAACAAGCACAAATATATTTAGTATAGTAAGCAAGTCCAAACAAAATTTGAATCATAATTTAAGCAAAAAAGCTCATATGTTGCATGAGTTAATATACCTTTACATTTGTGTGGCCGGTAAAGGACTGAAGGGGAGTATCAATAACCCGAGAAGTGCACATTGACAAATCCCAAAGCTTCAGAGTATTATCCGTGGAAGCAGACACAAGAGTACTTGTATCAACAAACTTGGTATAACTCACAGTTTTATTGTGTCCAGCTAACGTGCATAGAGGAATCCTAGAGTTTCGGAGATCATAATAATAAATTTTATGATCTGCTGATCCAAATGCAAGATAACGACCAGAATCCAAGGAAAACTGGACGCAGCAAACATTGGCCCTTGTTTTGATAGTACAAATACTTACTCCCTGCAGTAGCAATCCAGGTAAGAGAAAAACTTATCATACATTCAGAATTATATATACACATCAAGAAATTAGATGACTGCAGTACGTTTAGTTTCAAAGCTGACATCCACCAAGTGCAAAAATAGAATTGCCTGATTGATACTCCATAGCTTTGCAGAGCCATCGTCACTCCCACTAGCCAAAATTGTTGGATCTGCTGATGAAAAGTCGACAGACCATACGCGTTTCTCATGTTCTCTCATTTCAGTGAGTACTTGACTTCTTGTAACATCCCACACCTGAAATGGTCGAGAAACTGATTTAAATAGAGCAATAGACAACTACATGCTGAATGCTAAGTGAATGCTTTTACCTACCTGCACCACTCCTTCAAAGTTACTTGATGCAATCTGGCTTTTAATATAACTATTCCAACATATACTGCTTAACTTTGACCGACTAACCATTTCAACCACAGGATAGTGGATGTCACGATTTTCATTTATGATTGCATCACATTCAAATACTTTAATCTTCTTATTTACACCAGCTGTAGCAAAATATTCTGCATCACGATCAAAACCAAGAGAGCATACCAGATTGGAAGAATTTAACAAATCTCCTTGCTTCAAGTCTGCCTTGACTTTTAACTTAGTGTAAGATAGATACTTGCACAAGCCCTCAAGGAATGGATTTATCCATCCACTTTCCAAGCTCTGGCTATGCCTCTCTTTTGATGTTAAATTATTGACATTACTTCTTTCTGTCAGAACAATAGATCCTCTACCATCACTATTCAATGGTGTTTGTCTACTCAAAGGCTTCCCTGATTGATTCACAGGCCTGCATCTTGTCAAAAAATATGCTGACTCAAGTTTCTTAAAATTTTTCATCAACTGCAAACTTTTTTGAATAATACTTTCTTGATTTTCAGGGGGATCAGACTTTTGACAAGTGTCTGGATTATCACCACACTCTTCTACATTTTGAATCTGAAGTACCGGTCTAAATCGTTTTCTAGACCTCAAGCTAGAAGAATCATCAGTATCAACAATATTTACTAAGGGGAGATTCGATGTTGAATTGTCATCTTTCTCCAGGTCTGTATATGAGCTTCCCTTTTTCTGTAAGATTTTTTGCTGCTTTGTGACTTCCGCAATGTCAGAACACAGAAAAGAAAGAGTATCTTGCAACCTATCACCGACTTCCTGTTTCCTTTGTTGTATCAGCAAAAGAAATTCCAGCAATAACTCCTGCTCCTCTATTCTCTCCCGGAACTCTGTGGCCGCTTCACATTCTACCAAATTTTCTCTTGGTTCCTGAAGAAGCTCGCTCTGTAACAAGTCACTGTTGCATAGATGAAACAAGATTAATACATCAAATCTACTATGAACAAATGTTGGAACTCCGTACCTAAAACAATAATTGCATCATGTGCCAGTGATGAAAGCAGATCACACATGGAATACATGCAGAACAGCAATGATGACAAAAAAGTAATTGAAGGTGGTATGAATGAGATATGTCTTTACTATTACTTCACAGAGGGAAACAAAAAAGGAACAAACCATTATCTATCATAAACACTAACAGGAAATGCAATGAAGAAATCTACCACAATACTACAGACATAAACACTTAGATCTATTAGATGAGTGATTCTAACATTGTGTATCTACTGCAAGGGCTTTGACCGCATTCTTTATTCCAGTATCAAATGAAACTTATCAAGAAAATGCCATGCAAAATTGTCCATGTGACCGACTAAATCTTCAAGGCATCATGTTCTTTTATAACTATACCTCAATTCACTTTTCCTAAAAAATACATTGCTGAAAGCATAAATGTTTCCCATTAAGGAAATAACTCCAAAAGGAACCACATGATGATCTATAACAGATTGAAAGAATTTGAGCCCACATTTCCCCAAAACCTTTATATTAGACATTCTATGCACTAATAGAGATCGCTATCAATATTATAATGGACTAATTTACTATGCACGTGATCACCTAATTCTGTAAAGCCAGGCCATTCATAAGATCTGCATGAGCGCAATGTTGTCCGGCACAATAAAAACGACATTAATCCGATTATATAGTTCGATCATATTAATAAAAAAAATGCTTGATAATGTTAATGAAATGAAAAACAAATTCAAATAGAAAGGTCTAACGGGCAGCGATACAGAAATTATATAAATAATGGTGGAATATATAAAAATCGAGGAGAAATTACCCCATTTTTGGACGACTACTTGGCTCAGGATGCAATAACCGTAAACAAAATGTAGCTTCCTTTGGCCACTTTCGTAGCAACTGTGGAGGAAGAACTCGATGTTTTAAACTAGACATAGTTCTAGTCATTTCTTCTCTTGAGCTGAAGGGGCAGAATAACTGCAGATACATAAAAGTACTAAGTATAAAAATATAACAAAAAGAGTTTTAAGATTCAATCCAATGATTGAATAATAATTAATCAAATAATCAAATAAAACAAGTTGAATAATAATTAATCAAATAATCAAATAAAACAAGACAAGGCATCTAAGAGTTTAATCTAACCATAGCTAATAGCAGAGACCATAAACTAACAACAACGAACTATTTCAAAAGTTTAAAAATAATGGAAAGTATCAAGCATTTTCAAAACTAACCTCAAAAAGGAGAACTCCCAATCTATAGATGTCGGAAGCAAAGGTACTGGGAGAGCCAGCAACCTCTTCAGGACTAGTGTACCAATTGGTCTCCAAAAGCAATTTCTGTTTCATAGGAAATGGTTGCTTTCTCTCTTTTACTTGTTCAAGATTTCTGTCCAAGATTTTATTTTCTTCACTCTCTTCTAAAAGTGCATTCCTTGCACATACTGAGCCTGACTGCATGCAGCTAGCTTCTGATAAAGCATTTGTTGGAATTTGCACATCTTCATTCATCAGTCTACGCTGCTGATGCATGTCAAGGGGCAAAGTAGAGGATAAATCCTTAACCTCCATATTTTTTCTATTTAATGCATCCTCAGCAGAATCAGATCCAGAACCCGAAGATGCAGATTCGATGAAGGAAACATGATTAAACGAGGACATGGCAAAGCATGAAGGTCGAACATTATGGACAACAATTCCTTGTGCATGTGCTATATTTACAATCTCAACTATTTGCTTAAATATGTGCAAACATTCAAAGACATCTACAGACCGTTCTGGTTTATCCAACCACTCCCTCAAGCTAACATCACCCCATTCAATGGCATGGACAAAAGGGTTTACAGCCGTCTCATCCTCACAAACCCCAGAAGCACCAACCTGGCTTCTAAGGTGATCATTGTGAGCCAGCACATCCCTACCATCCTCCTTTCTAAACCCAAAATCATGCGAAGCATCACCTGAAATATCGATTCGTTCAGCAGGAAACAGACTTCGATCCCTGTCTGAGACACGAGAAGACTTCAGTGCCCTAGAACTATCAGACTTCTGCCAAGCAGACTCAGATGAACCCTCCATTGTTATCCTCCAAGAATTGTATGAAGGTCGCCACTTACATATTCAAGAAATGGAAAAAATCTCTGCCTTCTTATCCACTCTCTGACTTCTACCATTATCATTTTGAATAATAAACTCATTTCATTGTCACAAAATGAAAAGAACCCGAGCTTCCCATCTAGAAAACCGCAAACTCAATTCCCTATAAACACAAGGAACCAAAATCAATAACCTTTACACACCAAAATTCTCATCATAGAAGATATCAGAAACCCCACCATCATTAACACTACCAATCAGAAAAGAAAAAAGTTCACAAAACCTCAACACACAGCCAAAACACAAAAAATACCCAGTACTCAACATATAATCACCATTATATCATACCAAACAAAAAGCAAAAACTACCAATATCTATATATATTTACTGCATGTTTCTAAGAGAGAAAGAAAGAGAGGTACCAGTTAACATCACAAAAAAATCTTCTGTTCTGCTAGACCTACCTCATAAAATTCCCACAAGTTACGCATAAGCAAAAAGAAAGGAAATAACAAAACAAAACAATTTTTCTCAATAAAAAACACAGACCATTTGAATATCAACATTAAAAAAGACAATTCTTTTTGTTTAATATTGTAAGCTACCAAACTTGTAACTTTATTTAATGTCTCCTTTTCGAAACATAGGCCACTCTTTTGAGCAATTGCATTATCTTCCCGCTTTATTCCATTTCGACTACGTGGCATTACCATGACCTCAAAGCCTTTTTTCCCTCATGCAACAAGCCAGAAAGTAAAATTTTAATATCTTGTGGGTCCAATTGAAATTAAAAATTTTACAAAGAAACTACCCCTAGTGTCTCACTCCGGGACCTTGGCCAAGTGAAGAATGCCCCAATGGTCATGCTTTTAGAAACCTACTATCTTGATGTTGAAAAAGAGAATCTCGGCTATCTTAGTTTCCCAAAGAGGAAACCTATTTAGATTACTGAAACATACAACTAACCCAAAATTTTCATTTTTTGTTAATTTTTAATCTTAAAAAAACTAAATTATGTAAACTTCTCATGCTAAAGAATTAAGCTTTGATTCTAACCAATGATTAAATTTAAAATCCCTAAGAGCAGAAGAATAAAAAGAGTTGATAGTTAGTGACAGCAAAGCTTTGGTTTTTCTTTAAACCCCTGAAAACTTGAGAGTCTGAGACTGATTTAAAGCAAGGAAATTTGGTATAGTTTGTAAAGGATGAAAATTTAAGATACCCTTTTGGCCATTTTATTCACAAAGCATGTTGATTTTATAAAAAAAAAATCCAACAAGGAGGGAAATGAATAGTTATTTCATATCTAATCCAAAGGCAAATATAATAATTGTTTGGCAACCCAGATAGTTTCCTGATTAATCGTTTTTTTCCTCTTGGTTTCCAATTTTATCGTTATTGTACCTATTCTTCTTTTTTTTTTCAAAGAATGATTTTTCAACTAATTGAAACAACAAACATGCACAAATAGAATCATAAATTTAAAGAGATGAATCATTGGTTGCATTCCCATTTCTTATTCAAAATAATTTAATTGATTTATATAATTAATATTAAAATACCGCATTTAATATGTTTTTATTTAAAATTTTTATTTTTAAATAATGATTTTCTTTATAAAAAAAATAAAATTTTATCAAAATACACAATTTGAATCCAAATTGTTCAAAATAATTAACTTCAATTTTTGTTATTTGCAAATTGGAGGAAAAAGAAAACTACCCCAAGACCAATATTACTAAACTCTTACCCTACCCAAAGTTCATTGGCACCTGTGATGTTTCATATCATAATTATCCAAATGGGTAAAACCCAAAAAAATAAAAAATAAAAAACAAGAAATAAATTTGTCATAAATCAGAGTGTCCTATGTTAAAAAATATATTTATAATTTTTTTAATATAAATTGGTCGAATCAATTAATTAAAATTTATTTATTTTAATAAAAAAATTTTAAATTTAAATTTTATAAATAATTATTTATTAAAATTATCTTAAATTAATAATTTATAATTATTTATTTTAAATTATCAAATATAATATATATTATTTTAATTTAAAAATAAAATAATTTATCTATTTTCAATTTTATTTCGAACAAAAAAACTTTTTAATACAGATATTTCAAGAAAAAGACAAAAACTTTGGTGGATGGGACATATTGTAATGAGGACGGCCCTAGCATTTAATGCGTCGATCTAACTTCGGCCCAAAGGGATAATGAAAACTTTCAGGTGTGGCTTCTGCCACGCCCTGTCCCAATAGTTTTCTTCGGCTGGTCAACAATCAACTTTGGATCACAATTTATCAATTGAATTAAATTTTAATTGAATTTTGAGTTTTTTTTTTGTCTTTTTTTAGTTTAATTTGTCCAGTATTATTAAGAAAATCCAACCGCGAATATTTCTCCAATTTGAGCAAAGCCGTTCCCGTAACAAATGCAATGTACATTTTCTCACTATTGGTTACATTCAATGTACCATTAATTGGTAGTTCTAGGTACATAAAATATTGTGTACACAAACAACCCTAAAGTAGCAAGGGTGGCTGGCCTCACCGTTAGGATGTTATTGTTACTTGGTGTAAGGGTGTTAATTATATATTAATATTTATAAATTATTTGATTTAATTTAAATAAAATTTAAATTTGATTTAATTATATCGAATCGTATTTAAATATTTTTATATTTAGTTTAAGTTATTTATGAGTTTAATCAAATTTTTATATTTTAATTATTTTAATTAATAAAATATTTTAAATTTGAATATAAATAATTAAATTTTTATCAAATATAAAATCAAACTTATTTTTATATGTTAATTAAATATAATCAAACGAGTTTAAGTAATTCAAATTTTATCTTGAATTGAGTTTGAATTTAAAAAAAAAATTGATCTAAAATTAAATTTTAAATTTCAAATTTAAAGTTAAAATCGAGTTCAAATTTAATATTATTATATCGATTTGAATTCAATCGATTATACTCTTAATTTATTAAGCATGAAAGTTTGACAAATTCATAATTTCAAATATATGGGATTGATCAGGGATAGAAAACCCGCCATGGCTTGGCAAAAATTCGTCTGGAATTCTTCATCACTCTTAAACTAAAAATTTTTTTGGTAATTATTAATAGATTGAGCACACGAGTTAATATTTGAAGATCCTGTACTCAAATTGCCAAAAATCACTTACTACTTTTGTCACGTAGAGGAAGAGATTAGAGATCATCTTTTCTTTTCTTTTCTTTTGACTTTCTCAAAGCAATATAGGTTTTAAATGCTACCATACAAGTAGCTATTTTGACGAAGTAGCTCATAGTAAAAACCAAAGAATTAAGTAAAAAATTGTCACATTTTTAAATAATCTTGACTAGCCCTAAGAAATGGAAACAATTATTTTAACCAAAGATGTCATGTTTTTGATGTATAACATGTATGAATGATGTGGTTAAGTTGCATTTAAGATTTTCTTAGATATATATAATAATTTTTCCTTAAATTAGGCTCTAATGTTTAGATTTTTTACATATTCAAAGCTTCTTATTCAATCAAAATCATGCAATTTCTTTGCTTAAGTCAGGATCCAGCATATTTTTCTTTAAGACTTTACAAGATTCACAAATGATTTTGATGCAAGGTATATGATGAAAGTAGATTCAATGGTCCTTGATGCTGAAGCAACATAAATGGTGAACTATCATTTTAGCATTTTGACCCTGGACATGTGACCATTATGGCTGTCTTGAAAATCACATAGATGGGCACATGATGATGACCTAGGATTATGATAGGAAATTAATGAACCAAATAAGCCATGGATGATTTGCAGCAAATGGGGCAGTGGTGGCTGATACAGTTCATCAGTTTAGCCCTTTTAGGCTTCTTCATGTCTGAAGGAACCATTGCGACAGTAAGCTGAGTGTCCACAATTCATATACTTTTAGAGTTGTTGATGACTTTGTTCCATCCATGCAACTTCAAGTAATGGAAAAAACCAACCAGTCAAGTGATTTTTTTTTTATCTACTTCAAATCAAACCAGTGTCCAGCATTGTAGGAAATGAAAGAACTGACAGATTGTTGATCTTTGACAATACAAAGTCAATGCCAAGCACATGGTTGCTAGGGAAACTGTTCAATGGGGAGTTCAAAGGAATGGATGGTCAAAACCGGTAGGCGGAGGAGGCCAAAAGACAATCTTGATGAGAAAGCAGCTCTCCAACAATATGCCTTAGCCACGAACCACAGCTTAGAATTCAACTGCATGAACAATTCATTTTCAATGCTGCTAAAGACTTGACGATTTTAGAACACAAAAATAAAAGTACATAATTTTCTATCAAGGGGAAGCAGGAACTGCATTCAAGTTTGACTACCGTGAATTATCATATCATATGAAATATACACATATAAATACATAGACAATGGAGCTTGAACGTTATCATGCTTAATACATGGCTGCTGACAAGAGTTCGCATGTGGTACAAATATCAGTCCATTCTTGGTTTTTTTTCTTTTCAAAAGAAATCGTAGCTTGAAAATAAATAAATAAAAAGAAACAGATCAAATATCATCTTTTAAAATTTGACTATAAACCGATTTAAGCTTCTAGTTACTCTTGAAGCAAAATTTCTTCTTCGGTTAACATTAATGCTATTTACTTGTCAAGGGGCAATGATAAACATGCTAGATTTTGCTTCATTCATCACATTAAATAATCTCAGATCTCTCTGCTTTTAACTTATGGCTAATAATAAGGTCTACAAGAATGGGTCATATCTTAGCAAATTACAGTTGCCGAGTGGAAAGAAATACACATGATTAATCACACAGAGATTTCTCAATAAGCTATAAGCTAAGCCAAATATGCCCACTAGCCATATTCCTAAAAACACCAATCTATACAAAAAAAAAAAAAAAATCCACCCAACAACTCTGGATCATATTTAGCAAGAGAATCAGCAGCCAAATTATTTGCAGTGATCATCTTGAGTCTTGATAATGCTCATCTTGATTTGCTGTTCACAAAATTTAGCTCAACGACCGGAAACAAAAAATGAATTGGTTGATATTTGGTTCCCTTCTAACTGAACTTTTCTTATCTTTGCCTTATCAAGGCGTGCTCGCCGAACAGCTTCTTGGATTTGGCGATCATGATCCTTAAGAATTTGATCCATGTTGCCTGATGGAACTATTAAGGGACCAGAATAGTGAATTTTGTGCCCCTTTGACCCATAACCAAGCTGGAAACCATCATTGAGAAGCATGTATCAGATACTTGAAATGGATAAAGGTTAATAGCAGGCAACCAAAAACCTAAAAGCATGTTAAACTGGAAAAAACCAGAGAAAAACAAAATAGAAGAATCAACAAATTATCACAAATACCCCAGTTTAATACAATGACGCCTTCCTCTGCACAAAGTTTGATCAGGACAACCAATCATCAAGGCAGAAAAAAACAGGTTCAATACTTACCAGAACAGGATCTTGGTTGCTACTTCTTCCATCTTCTTTCTGCTGCACATTATGTTTCGGATCCTGTTGGATGAAGGATTCTGAGGCCTCCTTAATTGACCCCGGAAATCTTGCAGTCATTCTTGGAGCTTCTGATTGTGAAGAACCAGATCTTTCTCTGAGATCTTCAGATATAAGATTACTTCTCCTTGCTGCCACTAAACTTGACATCATTGACAAGTCAGCCCCAGTAGAAAGTTTTGGAGCATCATCCAGGTTTTTCGCAGACTTTGCCCATGCAGCTCGGTGAGCCAGTGGCCCTGAATGGGACGCTCGCTTGTGATGATTCCCCTGTACATCTGCATTTGATTCTACTCCCTGCGATGGCCTAGGTGGATCTATAGGAAAGCCTGAGGCAACTTCTTCAGGATGAGGATTAAACTTCTCACTCCGGCTCTTTGAATTGGATTGACCTTGCCTTTTCTGGAATGTGAAAGCAACGTTAGTAATGTCAAATTAATGTAACTGTTCTAAAAGAGGAAAAAATGATAAAAAAAAAAAGAAGACAAACAATATTAATTGCATTATATGGCAAAGCATCAGCTCGATTGGTCATTACTGCAGCATTAGCAGTCCTTCAAATTGAGAAGAGAACAAGGAATTCATCTTTGACTTCAATCACTGAGGTTCCTACAAGTAGTTAGCTATCATTTCCTCCCCCCCCTCCCACCTTGATTTTACTCATGATTTTTTTAGAATCAGATGTTAGATTCTGCTTCCTATGTTATTGTCATCTTCAATTCCTTTCAGGGTTCAGTTTTTTTGGTACGATTCAGGGTTCAATTTGTTTATTATAAGTTTATAACAGCCTGCCATTGATCGAAGAAGAAAAAAATTAAAAACAAACTACAATACCATATCATTAAGCTTAAAAACCAATCCTATGTAGCGAAGAAAGCTTAATTTTCTGTTTTTGTATCTCATTAACCTTAATGATATAGCAGGTTGTGACATTCGTCAACAAACCAATATCATGATGCATTCGCTAGTTAAGGATGCCCATCACCAAACATGTACAGCAAAAAGAAATGAAATGGGAAATTATTAACCAAATCATAAGTTACCTGCATTGACAATGCTAGTTCAGCGTTAGCATCAGGCGCAGGGATGGCTCGAGACTCTCTTGTTGCTCTCCTGTCAAGATCAGGTCTCTGGCCTTTGGTTCCTGCTCCTCCTTGTCTGCCAATACAAACAAACATAGTTTATTAGCACCTATACCAACCACTCAAGATTTCAAGCCATTATGGAAGCAGTGGCAGAACATAAAAAGAAGATGATAATAGCTCATCTAGTAAAAGCAAACGCTACGTTTACAGCAGTCCAGCATAGGCTGAAGACCAAAGAGATCAAATAGCTTGATTGCTGGACTGACATGAAATTACAAGTTTTTGGATGATCCTTTTGAAGCAATTAATTTACTTTGGAAGTAAATCCCTCACAAGTATCCGAAGAGTCCAAAGAAGATATTCCTTAAGAAGCATGAGATTTTTCATTTAGTATAAGTACCCCCAAAAAACAAACTATAAGAAGATTAATATTTGATTGTGATTAAATATACAATATGCACCTTCGAGCTTCGTCATCCCTTATTTTTGCATCAAACTCTTTGCTTGGAGGATACTTTGGCAAGCTTGATGGATCACAGGGAAGAGGTTTAGTTGTAAAGAACTGTAAAACACATAAAAATATGTCAAGGACACTAGACAATATTGATAAATAATTACAACAGAAAAGTATAATGAAATGATTTAAGACTAAAAGAAGTACATCCTACAATTTAGAAAATTGCATACAGCATACTAATTCTGAAGTCATAGTGGCTTATATGAGATGGGAATAAAGCCCTGCTGTTCTAGCACCCCAAGATACCACGGGATTGAACACAAGCCAAGAGTTTTGGCATTCAAGTTTCATATTTAAACTTTGGCACAAACTCTTTAAGGTAGCGTTTGGTATCATTTTCAACATTACCATGGTAATGTAATCACCAAGGTGATCTTATCACTCGTGACATGAAATCAATTTGTTTGGTTAACAATTACTAATTAATACGAACTAAAGATCACTGTGTTTGATATTACTAAAAATCAAATATTATTTTATTTAAAAGTATAAGAATAACATTCTTGTTATAATAATTACACAAGTTAATAATTTAAATGTTGTTTAAAAATAATAATTCATAAAACATAGCAATATTTTATTTATTTTATAATAAATATAATTAACTTATTAAATATATTTATTTATTAAGTAAACTAATTTTTAACTATAAATTATGTAAAAATACATTGAATTAGAAAATAAAACTAATCTATTAAAATCATAATAAAAAAATAAAGACATTATATTATATATAAAACACTAGAAGAAGTAAAAAAATATACAAATTATTTTTGAACTTGTTATTAATGAATATTAGTTTGAAAATAAAATTTTATAATATAAAATAATTAAAATTTTAAGAGGAATCAAATTTTTAATTCACATATTAAATGGGAAATATTGACTATTACTAATTTTATAAATCAATTTACCTCGGTGATAAAAGTTTCCCACCTTTTTGGATGGGAATTAGATTATCCTTCAAGATAGTGATCTAATCACTCTCAATGATATCCAAGATCACTGCCACGTAGAATCCCCAAGTGTTTACCAAATATGATGATTTAATCACCATGTACAGATCACCATGGTTTTTGGAAAGATAACCCCATACCAAACACAATCTAACAGCCAGACATGGAGGCTCATGTTAGTACATGATGCTTAACCATGACAACAGACTGCTAAACACACAGCAATAATGCTGATAAATACCATTGGAATTTATCCTGAATGAATGAAATATACTAGAACAAAGTTCTATCCAATTGTCATACAAATTATATCTGCAACTAGTCTTTAGATACTAGAATGTGTCCCCTCTGAATGAAACTCATGTTCCCTTAAAATACTTTTAGCAACAATGACAAAATTCCTAAAAAAGAATATAATTGAAAAAGCAAAAGAGCTAAATATAAGCATTGGTTTCATGTCATCTTGCTAAAATAACCAAGTTATTTTGCAAAAAAAAAAAAAAAAACCTTCATTACCAACATTCACCCAGGGGCACCACCCCTCTGAAGGATATAGAAAGAATAGACATGCTTGCAGACATGCATGGATTATAATAGCCTAAAATTTTAATAAAACATAATTTCTTAAAAACATCATACCTCACTATTGAGAGCAGACGCTGCAGATCCACGATCAGCAGGGTTAATGGAAAGTAAGGTCTCCATAAGTGCTAAAGCTGGTGCAGGGAATTCCTTAAATGTTTCTGCAACACAGCCTCTATAAGGCTGTTGGGGCTTAAAAATGGTTGCATGAGGCAACTTCGATTTTCTCCAATAGTCTTCAGAAGGTGAGCCACAAAGTTTGAAAATTTTATGCAACTGTTCCACCTACAAAGCAGAAAGACACAGACCTCAATCATTTAATTTCACAACCAAACCTTTCTATTTTGACAGTGTCACCAAACCATGTCAGATTGCCACAAACAAGACAAAGGAGACAAAGCATAATTCAAGATAACTTAATAGACGAAGCATAATTCAAGATAACTTAATATAAGAAGCATAATTCAATATAACTTAATAACTATCTCAGGTAGCCACAAACAAATTCCAAATTAAAAATGAGATAATGCTAAAGTTGAGATCCAACAACCATCAACTGGGTCTTGCTTTCAAAGTTCACATTAACAGTATTTTAATGGTCTGATGGTCATACAGGCAGGGTATACCACCAGTCAAATTTATTGGAACAAATATGCATAAAAGTTATTAGTATTACAGGAAGAGAGAAGCGCATATAACACATAGTGTATTAACAAATACAGCTGCTTAAAAAATCACTTCAGTGCATTCTATCATATGTTACATTATATCTCTCATTGAAATCAATTCTCATGAGCAATTAGATCAGAGGCACCTTCAAAAGAATTAAAACAAAACAAAATCTCGAAAAACAGTAAAAGGAATTAAAGTGCTAAGAAGTATAAATAAAGGGTCTGCCTAAAAAATAAAAGTCAATACCACATCAAAGCTATCTCCAAAACCAGCTTCCCAGCTTAGAAACACGCTATTTTAGGGACATGTCAAACAAACTACACCTATAAGAACCCTCAACTCCCTAATAATCCCATTAGTAGCACAATTGGATTAGATATGCAGTAGTTTGGCACTTTGAGGGACCAACATAAATTTTTGAACCAATCAAGAAATCTCTGAGAACTTTTAACCAGTGGTGCTGGTGACAGATCTAAAAGCAAATTAAAAAGTCCTCTCACTATTAAGCACACTCTTCTGGTCAGCAGTCAGAATGTAAAAAAAGGTAGTGGAAAAAGTGTTCCTCCGCTATTAAGTATCGCATATCAATTGCACTTTCTGCAATAGTCTTCTCCCTCTCACACACACACACACATACTTCACCATGCCCCTCAAGATTTCATTCAGATGTTATATTTCACCAAAGATTTTTGCATATTCCAACAATTTGCTTTTGGCTATCCCATCATTGACCCTGGACCTGCCCAAAAAGATCCCAAAATAAATTTCAAACATACAAGTCAGCTCAATTAAGTTAGCTTTCAAGATAATAGAGTCTATACTCACTGAACACTCTTGCCTATTTAAATAGCAACAGCTTGCTTTGGGCTGATTTAAGCCTAAATCTTCGTGAAAAACCCCAATTGGGGGACAGATGTTTTGGCCTCAATCGGTACCTCGGTAAAATTAGTTTCATTTGTATGATAAATGCTAGACAGATATACAATTTGAAGCTCTAACAACCACATATTACAATTATGTCAATAAAATAATGTTATGCATCTCGCATTACACAATAAAGTTTCTGCTTAGAACTCTAAATGCTTAGCAGGAGACCTTTCATTTGATTAAAAAAAAAAAAAGCACACCTCAGTTCTTCCAGGCATAATAGGCTTGCCAGCATATAACTCAGCAAGTATGCAACCAGTACTCCATAAATCTACAGCAGTACCATAGTAAGTGGCTCCAAGTAAAAGCTCCGGTGGTCTATACCAAAGAGTTACAACACGGCTTGTCAAGGGCTGACTTTGATGGGGATCATAAAAACTAGCCAGGCCAAAGTCAGCAATCTTCAAGATGCCATTATTGTCAATTAGAAGGTTGGAACCCTTTATGTCACGATGTAGGACACCACGGCTGTGACAATGGTCAAGACCACACAAAAGTTGCTGCATGTAGCACTTAACCTGCCGAAAAGTGCAATAAATTCAGGATAGCCCTTCAATGCAAAACATAAATTTCTGTTTTTGCAGAATTTTTTTTACTTATTAAGATCGCAATTTTTAAAAAATGAAACATCATGTAATTCCCATGTTTGGAAGACCTTTTATGGTAAACACCATTCTGGACTACTACTCACTAACAAGTAAACTTTGGAAAGATTAAATTGCAGCTAAGAAAAAAAAGAAAAAGGCAAAACAATCAGGAGCACCTGCGATTCTGAAAACTTCAGACCAGGGTGAGAAGCCAGACCAGCCAAATCATGCTCCATGTACTCAAACACAAGGTACAAGCTGCAAGACATCCTTGAGGTAACCAGACCTTCCAGCTTTATAACATTCGGATGATCAAGTCTACGTAGAATGTGAATTTCCCTTGCCATAAATCGAACACTCTCTGGCTCAAGGTTATCAAATCTTACTTTCTTCAGAGCAACAACTTTTTTCTGATCTATGTCACGAGCCCTATAGACATTACTATAAGTTCCCTGGCCAATCTGCACAGAAATATAAGTTCAGGTAACAGATGTGATTACTAGCTGCAAGAAACTGTCAATTTAAAGCATAGTGATGGGTTATAATATAAGAGAAACCACATTAAACCCCGGTAGTATAGAATCAACAAAACATATTGAATTCTAAAAGTCTACCCTCTTAAATTTCTATCACAATTAGACATCTAGAAGTCAGTAAAAGTATGGTGATTGAAGGCCAAAACGAACAGGGCAGGAGAGTGAAGGACCAAAGGAACAAGGCAGGAGATTGGAGGATAAATAAAATAAAATGTTAAGATGCCATAATGTTGAATAAAGGTATGTCACTGGATTTAGAGAGAATTTTCCTTTTTAACTGTAATTTGGTACTGTTTTGATTTTATTGAGATAGATTTAGGGCTAGATGAGCATGGTTCGGGGTCATTTAAGGTAGAAAACAAATAGAAAAGTCAAGATGGATACACTTTACAATCAAACCACTGCATTAATACTCGACAAGGTGGAGAAACTTTTGTGTCCAAGAATAGAGACCCAACGACAGAGGTCCCAGTATAGCATTGTCATACCTGAGAATGAAGATAACTTTGTAATGTAAACTACTAAAACTATTGGCTAGTGGCTTAGGAATTATGAATTATGACATCATATTTTAGAATTGTTAACAGATGTCGAAATGGATTACAAGGAACTAAGATTCCAATATAGTAGCACAAAGGTGAATCCCAACGATCAATCCAGAAACCAACAGGGAACTACTAAAAATGAACAGATAAGTCAAATAAAGAAATTACAAATGCTATCGGCAACATGAGGATCAAGCATATACAAGCAACATTGTAACCAAAGAACTAAATTAAGTACAAGCATAATTACTTTATCCAGCTTCTCAAATGAGTCTGCACGCCGTGGTACCCATCCCCTGATTGCTTCTCCTGCTACTGCAGCTAACCAAGCAGGCCATCCTGCAGCCACCTGCTCTCCTTCCGCAGCTTTCGGAACACTACCCATCCCTGGTTGTTGACTAACAACATACTCCATCTTCTCCCTCTTCCTATCCAAATTCTCATCATGCAACTGAACCGAACCATTCACTTGTTTATCGATCAACATTATCCTCCCTTCATTTTTATCATACCGATCCTTTGCTCTATATGCTTCCTCCCTCCTCGAAGAAGTAGCCCTTGATACCCTCACATCTGATGAGGCTTTAATCGAAGGCCTCTCTCTAGGACTATCTTTACTATCTTCAATAGCAGAAGGCTTACAACAAATGCAACCCATCATACACCAAAACTACCCCTCAACAAAACCTTCTTAAGTTCTTCTAAAGAGACTAACTACCCTTCGTTCCTTCAGAAATTCTATTTTTCCAACATTATCCTCCTCATCCATTCCCATCACACTCAAAAAGCTTAAAAACTCAACTAAAAACTAAAATCCCAATATTCCATCCAAATTCAAACATAATAAAAAATCCCATTTCTTCACCAGTCGTATAACCAAGAACCCATTTTTCTTAAAAAAAATAAAAAAACACACACACTCACACACAATAAAGCTACAGACTTTACTAAAAACCAAATATTCAATGCAATTAACCAATCTATTCAAGATCCCATTTCTTCAACAACATTTAAGCGAAATGAACATATGTAAGGGCCCATTGCTCCTGAAAACTCAACAAAACTACAACCTTTACAAAAACTAAAAAAGAATCACTTCCAAAAGCAACCTTCCAAGATAAGCAAACTAATTCAAATTCAATACCACCCTTGAAAATGATAGTTCTTTATACACTCAAATTTTCTTCTACTCTACTTATCCAATCTAATTATTCAAGACCCACAATTTTAAACAACCTAAAAGCTTCAAAAACGAAAAAAAAAAAACCACTGAAAATCTTCTTTTGTTTTTTCAAGTATAAGGAAAAGCTTGTTCCTTTGCAGTAAAAAAAAAAGTCTGCAACTCTGACAACCCTAGAGAGGATTAGGTGATCTAGGTTTTGACGGTCAAAATGGGAAGAGAAAGAGAATGGATCTAAAGAGGCAAAACAAGAAAAAAAAAATTTTTGGTATTTTGAGAGGTTTTTTTCTTTTTTTCATAGAGAATTTTTTAGGTTGTGTGAAATTAATGATATTTGGGGTGGGGGTGGGAGGCAATAATTTATTGATAATAATATTTAACGGTGTGTATTTAATATTGGATTTAGGGTTTGTGAAAAACAATGTGAAAAAAGACATTCTTCATGTGTTTGATTATCCCACGCGCTTTATAAATGGAAGAGTTTCTGATCATGCAGAACCTTATTAATGGGCAATTTTTATTTATAAATTTTGGTCGGAGATACTTCAAATATTATTTAAAAAATATTTATATTTATCAAATAATTGATTCAATCAATTAAAATTTATTTTTTTTAATAAAAAATATTAAATTTAAATTTTATTGATAATCATTTATTGAGATCATATCAAATATACGATCTGTAATCATTTATTTTAAGTTGTTAAATAAGATATATACATATTAAGATCATATTAAATATATGATTTGTAATATCTATCTTAAATTATTAGATATGATATATCTTATTTTAATTTAAAAAACTAAATAATTTATCTATTTTTAAATTTTTTTATCAAAAAAATATTTATATTTAATACATTATCTATTATTGAAATTTAAAAGCTACTGCATTAATTATATTTTTTTTCTTAAATGCCACTTTAACCGATATTATTAAACACTTGCAACCTTTTTTATTTTATTTTATTTATTATTGAGGGAATAATTTTTTTTAGGGTAAGAAGCAAACCAAAAGCAATGATAACTTTTTACTTCTTTTCTTTTTCTATCTAATAATGATCTGCTTTTTGGATTTTATGATTGTTTTAAATGAATGATATAAATTAATAATTAGTTGTGAAAAGAAAATAGTAATATTTTTAATATTTCGGTATCCTAATGAATGCTTAAAAGGTTGTCATTGAATTAAGTAATTAATGATAAAAAAAGCAATAAATTTTTAAATTTTAAATGTTTACCTAAAACTTTTATATAAATAAAAAAAATAAAATAATTTTATCAATGCTTATTGATTCGAGTAGTAAGGAATTCGATTTCTCTTAAGTAAGATTTCGATTTCGAATCTTATAAATAAAAAAAATTGAGAGAGCTTGCTTTCTTTATAGAGTTCAATCTAATTTGATTTTGAATTAATCAAGACTTAAAATGATTATCAAATACTAAAAAATTTCAAACCAAGAAAATAAAATAACTCTTAAAATAATAAATCATTTAAAAAACCTAAAGATAAAAACATCAAGCAACATTTTTTCTTTTTCATTTATTAAAATTTTTTGCAATGGATGTAATATTGGTATATATAATTGAATGCAAATAGATGATAAAAAATTATATATTTTCATGTACAATCAATTTTAAAAAATTAATATCATGAATAATTTTTTAATTATAATAAAATAATTAATATAATATTTAAATTTTAAAAATTTTTAATATGATACTCGAATAATAAATTTATTAACTTAAGTAATATTTATCATATATTATCATTTAAAATTAATTGTGATAAGGGTGAATATAATTAATAAATTTATATTTTAAATATCACATCAAAATTTTTTAAAATTTAAATATTATATTAAATATTTTATTATAATTTAAAAATTATTCGTAACATAAATTTTTACCAATTAACTACATAAATTTTAATATAATAATATTTATATTCTATATATATTTGAGATAAATATACAAATATAGTTTTTAGTTATAACAAAGTTTGCATATTTTCACTCGCTGAGAGAGCGCGTGGAATTGTTCAAACTACTTTGGATTAAGACAGTAAGAAAAAGTTGAGACAAGGTCATGAGCTTTTCCATAGCTTTTATCAGTTTACATCATAAAGACTTGTTAGGTGACAGAATTACCATCCACTTCACTCACACTATACTAAATTAGAACTTTTTTGTCCCATTTTGTTGGGTCCCACTTTCCAAATCAATTTTCAATGATATCATCATCGTCCACTCTTCATCAGGTGGTCAAATTTGCGTATCACTAATCAAATCATATTTACTAGTATACTCTGCATTTTCCGAACATATAAACAATTTTATCATAATCAAGAATTGACATTGGTGTATCATTTTCTAATTTTGACCTATTTTAAGTAACTTTGAGATATCAGTTTGTCGAAATCTTAGCTTAAGAATAAAAAAAGTACATTTTTTATGGATTAAATTATAAATTTAATAATTTAAAATATAATATATATAAATATGATATAAAAATAAAATATAAAAGTGACAGGACTTAAAATTATAATAATAATTTTATATATGTTTAATAAAATAAAAAAATTATATTTTATATTTTAGAATTAATATTAATTATAACATGTAATTTTTATGTAAAACATAATATGAATATAAAAAATTTTAATATTTTATTTAACATAAATATACGAATCACCAAATTTATAAATTATCATGATCAACTTTATTTTTATGTTGTTAAGATTAATTTTATATTTTTTATTGCATAATCCTAACTAAATGTACGCTATATATTAAAACTGATGATTCAAATTGAATATTAAAATTTGACACAAATAAGGTTATAATCTAAAAATAAATTAAAAAATTATAGGTATTTAAATTTAAATTTTAAATTTATTAGATAATATTTTTTAAAACATAATTATATAAATCAATTAAAATAAATTTTAAGTTCAATTGAATAATCAATTTTGTAGTATTACCGATGTTGATTTTTGGGAAAAAATAGTAACAAATTGGGAACTAAATAAAAAGGCTTATCGTAACTTTAATCATCACATTTGTTAGATGGAGTTGGAATTGTTGGGTATTGAATATCACAAATTAAAAAATATATATATTAAAAAAAGGGCCAACTTAAGCATTTATGTTATGTTTAGAATAGAAGATTATGATAAGATAAGATAAAATAATATTATAAATAAAATAAAATTAAATAATATTATTTTATTTTATATTTGATGTGTATAAGAGATTATGATAAGATAATTTATCTATTAATCAAAAATATTTTTTTAAAATTTATATAATTTAAATTATTGATATAATTTTTAATAATATCATAGAATATGTAAATCTAATTTCATAAATTAAAAATAATTCTCTCCAGTTTGAAATTATTAAATAATCTTATACCAATAGAATAATAATATTCCTTCTAATTCTATCATTTTCTTTATATACAAATCAAATATAATATAAAATGATTACCATTTTATTTTATCAATTATCTTATACACCAAATATAACCTTAACATCTTAAGTTTCTAAATCATTGATATTTTACATAAATTATTATAACGCTCTCAATCTCATATTGAAAGAATGTGTGGATGTGATATGATATATATGTAGAGATCTAAACCTAAATTTATAAAACGTTTTTTTGTGAAACAAAACCGTAAAACCTTCGAATCAAAATAGACAGTATCTCGTAGGTTGGGTATGTGTATTCATAGATGATATCAAAGTGGTCACCAGTCAACGAAAATTAAGTGCTACATAATGGGAGTCACTAAGTGCTATACGATAGAGCCGTGAGAGTTACTAAGTGTCACACAATGAGAAACCACATTTAGAATCTTAACGTTTGGTGTGATCTTAATTTTGTTGTTAAATTCGATTTAACATGGACATTAAATTTTAAAAGTAGGGAGATTATAGTACCTCCAATTTCATGTTGAAATAATGTAATGTGTGAATATGATATAATATACATAGAGAAATTTAAATTCAAATCTGTGAGGTACTTTTTATGAAACAAAACAATGAGACCTTAAAATTAAAATGGATAATATCTCGCAGATTGAATTCGAGTCTCTATAGTTCTCAAAATGTCCTTATATAATGCTTAAAACTTTATAGTTTTCAACTTAAGAATCTCACATTGAAATGTATTAGGAAATGATGGTAAAGTTTATTTTATCATATGGATATGGATAGAATATGCTTAGGAGAAAACTTATATGTAAGCTTGTGGGATTAGGAAAACTTCTTTGGATAGTTCAAATTCTAATAAATATTGAATTCAAAATTTAGTTTTTTTGATTTATACAATCTTTTTTAAAAAGTAACATTTAACATATCTAAATATTAAATTTTAATACCTATAATTCATAGATGAATTCATGATTTTTTTTCAAAAATATTTGTTTATAATATATAAAATTATTGATAAATTTATTAATTTTGTCAAAGAAAATAATGTCCATAAAACATTTTTTAGGTGTCCATAGAAAATTTTTAAGTGTTTAAGAAAAAAAAATCGAATTTTTTTATTTTTCAATCATGGATACCTTAGTTCAAAGCATGGATCCATCTCTATTATAATCTCTTTTCATATCTGTAGATTACTTTAAAAAAAAAAAAAAACGAATAGAAATTTTATGTTTCAAAAGTTGTCGTAATAAAATTTATTAACATGATATCATTGGTAATTCTAATTTGTTGTCTATTTTTGTTTAAACATTGGAATTCAAGATTCAATAAAAGACAAAAACAAGATGCTAGAACAAAAATAGCCGAAGAACCAACTCACATGGATCCAATGCAAATCATGTGCTTCTACAATGTTGTGTTTCGCTCAAAAACACCCGCCAACCTTTTTAAAAAAAAAAAAAAATTAGAAGAAGCTTGCTCTGTCCAAATATATTAAATTACAAATAGTTTTATCCATATGATTATGCGCATGTGAAATTTATGGCTATGTCCTCTTTCGATGAGACAATTGAACAAACACTTGGGGCCCATTTTAAAACTCAAAGATTGTTTGGACCACAATTTCGCCTTCTGTGTTGACCATGTCGCCATTCAATTCAACATTCGTTAAAGCTTCCCATGATTAAGGCCTTTCCGATTTATATCTTAGTTACCAATTCCATTATTTTACGGGGAAATTTTTAGGAATTGTGCAAAGGATTGAGGGGCCATTGGCTTCTCTCATTTGGAAAGGAAGATTGAAAATGTATTTGAAAAGTTAAGTTATTGATTAGAATATTTCTCATTTTTTGGATGGTAAGGTATGAAAATTAGTGATAATGAATTTGCTCTTTGAAAAAAGGGTTTTTAGTTAGAGAAATTATTTAATATATTATCAATAGAATTTTTTTACTTTTATAAACAAAACTAATAAAGTGACACGTGTCCTATTATTTTATATTTTTAAATATACACCATAAGGTATGTTTATATTATTATTTTATATTATCCCAATAAGCTAGCTACTAAAAACTTAAAAAAACAATTTTTTTTAATCACTTATTCTAAAAAGATTTTATGTTATAAATTTATAATGATTAGAAAAAATATATGAATTTATTTAATAAATTTTTAGAAATCATTTTTATTAAAATTGATTTATATTTTATAGTTTTCTATAGAATAAAGTTTAATTATTTTTATAAATTATTGATTCAATAATAATTAAATATTTTACTTTTTTGTAAGGTTATTTTGGATTTTTTTTTTACTATATGATTTGTTTTTTCATAAAATACCAAATATAGTGATTTATAATATTATATCAAATATAATAATCTAAAATCACTAATAATCAAATTAATTTGGTGATTTTATCATCATGGTAATTAGTCACCGTGTTAATCTAAAAAATAATATCAAATATTACCTTAAAGGGAAAAATGAAAAGAAAAGAGATTTTGTGAAACATTTGAGAAAATAATACACAAAAGCCTTTCACGTGCTTTCTATAAAAACTTAATTTGAAATATAAAAACTTCATTGACAATAGATTGAATAATTTCACTAATAATAAATTCTATAAAGAAAATTCCATTTAATGTAAAAAAAGAAACAATTTCATAAATAAAAAAACCATTTATTCCTTCCTTAATAATCTTGTTTAATTTGAAAAAAAAAAGAAAAGAGTTATAACAATTTCACTAAAAATAATTTACCCTATTCCAAAGAGTGATTAAAGGCTACCCACTATTATATACTTCATATCTATATAATATAACTTAATTAACTTCAAGAAAAATATTTAAACTACCCTTATTTACTCAAAATAGGAGTTGAAAATACTAAATTTATATAAATTATTTATCAAAATAAGAGAAATATATCAAATGCAATTTGAAAATAGGTAAGCATTGAGATGGATATGAAATAACTATTTGTATAAATATTAATTGAGTGAGAATAGGATTAGAAATATATTTTTTTTAGAATAAAAATATTGTTAATATGATTAGTTGTTTGAATAATAGAAAATGAAAGCATATTTAAAATTGAATTATCTTATTATATTAAAATATGAAATTTATTTATACCACATAAGAAATCAATTAGCCTATTAAATGTTCATCATTAATAACTAATCTTTAGAACCTTTTGGGGTAAAAATTTTTACAACATAAAAATGAAATAAAATTTTTTTTTTGAATTAAATTAATTATGAAAATTTGCATAAAAATAAAGAGAAAAGGTTTAGGACCTTTGCTTCCTAAAACAAGAAATCTAGGACATCCATATTAAAAAAGTAAAAAAAAAAAAAAAGACAAACTAATATCAAATGTTTTATCTATAACTTTTTCTTATTATCTTTTTAAATTTGAAGGAATTGAAATAAAAAATTATGTTCTTGTCTCAGCTTTTTTTTTTTTTTTCCCAATCATATTAAACAAATTAATAAATCTATTTCACATGACATTTTCAATTATCATTAAGTTCATTCTTATCCTATTACCATCCATGATTGTCTTAATTACCAATAGCAATGTTTGTCTTGTTAGTTGCTACATATAATTACATGCCACAACTTTCTTCTTATCCATCATTTTCTCCATTTCTATTATTTATTATAAGTGCCATAAGCATTTTAATATAACAAAATGTGAATTGGATTTATTAAAAAGAGAATTGAGGGAAATTATTACCTTTGCAATTTTTTTTCTCAAAATACTGTAATATATATATTATAGTTTCTAAAGATGTCGTTAAAGGGACATCATCAGATCCAGATTAATTTTTACTCGTTTCAACTTCCATCTAATTTTATAAAATATATACTCAATTTTAGTTTCGATTCGATATTAAAGTATTATTTTTTATATTTAATTTTGACTTGTATATATATAAAATTATAATTGATTTAAAATTAATTTAATAATTTTAATTTAACATAATATTCATAAAATATTATTTTTAATATAAATTTATTTTAATTATACATAAATATAATATTTTTATTAAATTAATATATTAAATTAAAGTATTAAAATTAATATAATATATATAAATATAAAATTGAGTAAATAATCAAATATTTTATATTTATATATATCAAGTTGGGTTGAGGTGGATTTACTTAAAACATAATTTTAACCTGATTTGAATTTAAAAGAAAAAGAAAAAATCAACTTAACCCGAAACTTAATTTTAAAAAATAATATTATTAGGTCAGATTATAACCCAACAATTTTGGGTAGATCTTCAATCCTTAGATGTCAACCAAGGGAGTAAGAAAGTAAACAAATATAATATAAATAAATTTTGTTATGTTTTGTGATTTATTTGTTTAAAAATAAATTTTAAAATATTATTTATAATCATTTATTAAAATATATCAATGAATAAAAATTGAGTTTATTCATAAATTATTCCTCAAATGCTTTGTTCGTTCACACTTTCAAATATAAAAGAATTAAATATAAATAAATTTTATTATGTTGATAAACTATTAATTTAATTAATTAATTTAAAAAAAATTATTTATAATTATTTATTAAATTTAATATACAAATATAAACAAATAAAAATCGAACCTCTTCACCAAAAGTTGCTTACTGTCTCGAGCATGGAATGCATTCCTCCTCCCTTGCCACCACGAGGGTTTGACGGAAAAAAAAAAACAAATTACTTATTTTATTGATAATTAAAAAAATTAAAATTGAATGATTTTTATGTTTTTTTTTTCACTTCTAATTTTAATCATTTAACATATTTGATTTATTAAAACTGATATATTCTTAAAGCTATTTTATTTAAGTTTTGAAAAATATTTTTAAAATTTTATTTAAATAATAATTTATAAATAAAATATTGTCAAATTTAAAGAAAATTTGATTGATAAAAATCAGACTCAAAGGAATTTTTATTTGTTAAATTATCAAGTTCTATGTTGGCAAAAAAACAAAAGTTTTACATTAACCAATAGCGATAAGCCAGCTAGTATCTTCATCACAATAAAATAGGAGCATTTGCATCGGATTGCTCCCTGTCCGGGCAGATTATCCACGTAAGATAAAATTGAATTGTTGTTGTCCAAAAAGAAACGACATTTGTCACATTTGTCTCTCGAGATCTTATTTACTTTACAAATAAAAAAGAAAATCAAATCTGTTATTTTCATTTTTCCAGTTACCAAAACAATCACCATCAGAAAAAAAAAAAAAAAAAACTCAAAAGTATTCCACAGGAAAATCAAAGAAGCGAAAAGGAAAGAAAAAAAAAAAAGAACAGTGACCTACATTTTCTTAAAGGTAAGTAGTTTTCCATACATTTTTTACCAAATTATTTCTTTTTTTTTTTTTTTTTTTTTCATTTTGTGGGGTATGATTTGTGATTGGGTTTGAACTCCTGAAAATTGAGTTATTTCATTTAAACTGTGATTACATTTTTTTTATTTTTGGTTTTGGGTCTTATCGATTATCCTCTCATTTCACAGATAAAGACCCAATTTTTTTTAAGGGATTTTTTTTTGGGATATTTGTTAATAAATTGAATCACTTTGGTTATTGAGATCAAGTTTAATGAAATTCAAAACTGGGTTTTAGTTTTCAATGCCAAATTTTTATGTCTCTATGTTTGATAATTTCTTTCTTTTTTCTTTGGTTGGGTTAATAGAATTCAATCACATTGGTTTCTGAGATCAAGTTAAGAGAAATTGAATCATAGTTTTTTTTTGGTTATTTTAAGGCTTGATGTGGAAAAAAGTTTCAATTCTTGCCATATTTTTGTAGTTTTTCTTTGCAGAATTCAATCACATTGGTTAAAGGAACAATTTTACTTTAATTTGGCGATTAGTTTGTGTATTTTCATGATTGGAGGTTTGATTTTAGAGGCGCTACAGCAATCTCAATCTTTTGCAATGTAAAAAAGATGAAGAATTGGTCAATGGTTTTTGTTCTGAAATCTGACATATATGAAAAAAGTTATAATCTTTGTCTGAAGTGTTTTGGAGAAAAAGATATCTGACTTTCTGTTTTTTTTAATCTGTGTGTTAACAGAAGTCAATCACATTAGATTTTGGGAACAATTTGAAGAATGAAGAGCTTTGGAGAACTGTCTTATTGGTATATCTGTTGATATGCATTATAGAGGTTTGATTTATTGGCCAATATTCACAGTATTATTTGTCTAAAATGGAGAATTGGGTGATTGGCTTTGCTTCCAAATTGCCATAGCAAAAAAAAAAAAAAAAATCTTTCTTGTACAGTTTTTTGGAGAGAGAAGTTTTGTGGGGTGGTTATGAGTGAATGAGAGGGTGAAAGGAAATGAGTGAGAAACTTGGGGTTGGATTTGAGATACAATGACTGGAGGGTCATTGGGTCTACGTACAGGGAGTTATGGGTCATTGCAGAACACCAATGGTGTTATTGCTGTTGGTGGAAGATTATTGCACTCTAAATCTTTGGGTATTTTACGGAAGAGTTCAACCAAGATGATTTCAGGTTCTAGGGAAAAGGAGAGGTCTCTCCCCTATGTTTGGTGCCGGTATCTAGGTCGTCGGAAGGTTTCCATGCTGCTTCTGGTTGCCTTTGCTCTTTTGGTCTTTGTCTTGGGTTCTTTTGTAGTCAACAAAGGTTTGTTCCTTTTTTGTTACTTTGGGTTCTAGGTTCTAACTTGATTCTTGGATCCTGATTGTTAGAGCATTAAACTTTAATTCTATAGGTAGAATAGGCATCAGTTTACATATTTCTTCTTTATTTAGTCTTTTACTGGCATCATTTACTGGTTAATGTAATGAATCTGTAACTTTTTGTTCTCAGCATGGTAATTTGATCTTTTCTGGTTTGCTTTCTGTATGATTAATGAACTAGAAAGCACTAGGTCAAATGTTGATCAACGGACTGGAATTCTGGGCATGGTTCCTTTTGTCAATGGTGCCCCAGGAAATCCAGGAGCTTCAAGTATTCTTGGAAGGAAGCAGAAATATGAACAGTATTCTATGGCAAACAATCTTAAAGGAGGTGATAGAAATAGATTTTCAGTTTCTCCTTCTAAAGGTGCAAGCATTTTGCCATTGCACCATCCATGTGCAAATTTCACATTTCCTCCTCCCCCTCCACCTTCTCTCAGACGGATTGGACCTCGACGTAAGCTTGAGTTCAATCTTCTTGTTCTCATTATTTGGAATTGCATTTAAAATTGGAAGATGGCCTTCAATGTAATTGTGTTAATGTTTTTCACGTGAATGCATTAAAGCAGTAGTTTTAGATAGAAGCAAACATATTTGTTTAATAATAACATAAGATATCACCAGAAAGCCATTGGATTATTCATTATGTTCTTTTTTAAATCATAATAACTCTTGTACCAAAATAAATTGATCCGTGCATAATCATAAGAATGAAATAACGTTTTCTCATCTTGTCATGCAAGTGTCAATGTGTGCATATCTAGTATATGTGTCATTATCTTGCTACTGATTCAATTCTTGCTCAACCCTTTTTCAGCATGTCCGGTATGTTACCTCCCTGTGGATCAGGCCTTAGCTAGCATGCCAAGCTACCCATCAGTATTTCCAGTGCTTCGTAATTTGACATATGTTCATGATGAAAATCCAATCAAAAGTGAACCGCATGGGGGCTCTGACTTTAGTGGATATCCATCTCTAAAGCAAAGAAATGATTCTTTTGATATACAAGAGTCAATGACAGTGCACTGTGGGTAGGTTTCACTTCCCTTGTCACTTTTTCAATGTAGCATACTTATTGCAGACATTTGAGGTAAAAATTTATGTGATTGTTATGGTTTATATGGTGCATGTAAATGATTCAATGAATTATTTGTCTTCATATAAGTCTTGTTAATCCATTTACTTTCTGTCAGATTCGTCAAGGGAAGTAAACCTGGTCGTCAGACTGGATTTGACTTTGATGAGTCTGACCTTGAAGAGTTGCAGCAGTTCCATGACATCATTGTTGCATCAGCCATATTTGGTACTGCTAGGCATTCAATCTTCCACAAGAGCTTCTTGCTTTTATGTATGTCTGATCCTCATCATTGCTTTATTTATTTTTCTCCAGGGAACTATGACATAATACAACAGCCGAGGAATATTAGTGAAGAAGCAAAGAAAAATATTCCTTTCTACATGTTTATTGATGAAGAGACAGAAGCATATATGAAGAACGAAAGTATTTTGGATAGCAGTAAAAGGGTGGGCTTGTGGAGAATTGTTGTCAGCCATAACGTTCCTTACAGTGATGCCAGACGTAACGGGAAGGTCAGCGGACTGGTTTGGTTGATTTGCTCTGTTTTTTTCCCCATTTTTCTGACCATTACTTGGGCTTTTTGTAATCAGTTCTTCTTTCAGCATTTATAAGATCCTTGAATCTTCATTTAGTTATTTATTTTTTTGATATCAAGGATATTGAATCCTGGGTACATATGCAAGAAAGTGGGAATTACTGTTGCTGAATTCATTAAATCATTTAAACACATGCAGAGAATACTGAAATTCTGATGTTATGTTTGATGTTTCTATGTCCTTGTGCCTTTTGATTCTTGTTCTGTGTTGTCTGTCACCTATAATGTGAGGTTGATTTTGTAATTTGATTCATTGTTTTTATACTCTAGGCTGCTAGAAACTTAATACTAATGGTGACTTAGTGTATTATACTTTGCAGTTTGCTGTTAGTAAAGGGTGTGACTACAATTTAGTTTTGTTTGGTTGTAAGAGACAAACAAGAAAAAGCACATGTCTTTTGGTTGGTTAGGTGAAGAAATGTGGATAAGTGATGTGTCGTGGTATTTATAGTACAAATAAACCTAATCTGATAGGTAGTCTCCTAGATGTTTAGCAACAATGGTGAAGTTGTTCTACAGTATTTGGATTCACTGTCAAGTTCAGAGACTACCAGTTTTCTTTTAAAACATTTCTGATGCTGCCAGAGCAAGGATGACAGAGAGAAGAGGCAGGGGAGGGAGGGATTGGGTCGTTGACTCTCATCCTTGTCTCAGTTTTTCCTCTTCAACATGAACCTAAATTTATATCATTACACAAAATTGTAATGACTGAGTTGATATTAGATGAAAGTTCTGGGATATCTGGTGCATTCGTCCTTATCAGAAATTTCATAGGTAATATACACTTCAGGGCTGCTGAATCTTTTTTACCTGGCATGTATTGGCAGGTCCCGAAGCTTTTATTGCATAGAATCTTCCCAAATGTTCGCTACTCTATATGGATTGATGGAAAGCTACAGCTTGTTGTGGATCCTTATCAAATTCTTGAGAGGTACACTTCATTTCATGATTTTATTTATGTGCTGTTGATTTTTAAAAATGGATTCCTAAATTCTAGATTTTGTGATTTCTGTTCTGTCAGATGGACTGCATCTCTTAATAATGGAACATCACGATCTCTTTGTTATTCAAGAATATTAACCAAATTTTTGGTTTACAAAGCTACTTAAATATAAGATTGAATTTGGTTTAATATTCAATGTTGGTCGAATGAGAGATTCTGGCAATGCCATCTCAAATTATGATATTACATATTTGTGATGCAATGACAACAAAAAGTTGGCTTCATCTTCTATTTGATTTGTGAATTATTCATTGATCCAAAAGTTATGTGACTTATATTTGTGTAAGCTTGCCCGGTTGTAAGATTTATATATTTTAACTCTTTAAGTTTTGACTTTTATGATTTCTTGAGATATATTCTAGTTGGAGTATGGAAAAGTGAAAAGGCAGTACAACCTGAGAGTTAGGACTTAAGGAACTAATAACTTGATTAAGGAAATTTGGTTCTATATAAAGCTTTAGTAACTTAGTGAAGACAGCCTTCAATTATCCATCAATTATTTGTAGTAAGCATGTTTTAAGTTTTTAACTTTAGATTTGAGGATATAATTGAATTTAATTTGACCATTTTCTTATTTGGTCATTCTTCCTCTCAGATTCCTGTGGCGCCAAAATGCTAATTTTGCAATCTCGAGACACTACAGACGATTTGATGTCTTTGTAGAGGCTGAAGCAAATAAAGCTGCAGGAAAATATGATAATTCCTCAATTGATGAGCAGGTGGATTTTTATAAAAGTGAGGGTTTAACACCATATTCTGAGGCCAAGCTTCCTATAACCAGTGGTATGTACAATATTTTACACAAATACATACATGCCTTTTCCTTTCACTGTTTCAACCATATCTTTATTAAAATAATTTAACTTTTGGTGCCTGACTGGTTTCCTACAGATGTTCCTGAAGGTTGTGTACTCATAAAGGAACATATTCCCGTCACAAATCTGTTTACCTGCCTGTGGTTTAATGAAGTTGATCGTTTTACATCCAGGGACCAGTTAAGCTTTGCCATAGTAAGGGATAAAATAATGGCAAAAGTTGATTGGGGTATAAATATGTTCTTGGATTGTGAAAGACGCAATTTTGTCATACAGGTACATAATATGTATTGGCATATTAACTTGATGGGATTAATTTAGAGCATAAAACCTAAATATATTCTTTTCCCATTTTTATTGGGAGTATGCAAATAGAGAGAAAGAGAAAAGGTGAAAGAGAGAAAAAAGGGGGGGGGGGGTAGCAGCTTGTTTTCCAAATCCGCAAATTCGTAAGGAGTTAAGAAGAACACATGTTTCAAATATCTTGCGATGTCAAAAATCATTTGCATGATATGGTTTATTAAAGAATTGAGGCTTTTTAGGTATTTTTTGGTTAGAGGGATCCCGTAGGCATTTGTTGAATACAACCAATGTTCTATGCATGTTCTGGGATGGGGGCATGTGTAGGTTTGATGGGTACATGTAATCATTTTGTTGTGATTTTTTCTTCACAGGCATACCATAGAGATTTGTTGGAGCAAATGCCTCCACCAGTTGCTGCTGTAACTCAAATCCCACTAGCTTTGACCAATATCAATACACGTGGAAGAACTCCAGGGAAGAAGATCCCTAGACACGGGAGGGATAAGAGATCTGGTTCCAGGCGTCACCGTAAGGCTGCTGCTGGTAATAGAGATAGCAATTCCTTTTGAATGCTGTGTGAGCCAAACTGAAAAGGAAGTGTAGCTCTTTTTTTGTCCTTTTTTTTTTTAACAAAAATCAAATTGCTTCTAATTGTCGTCACTCATTACGGAGTAGGACTAATTAGATAATGGTAGGATTATATAAGGAGTAAAATGGCACATTTTTTTGTCTGAAATTTTGATATCTATTCTTTTATTGTTGTACATCCTGAATGAGCTTCATACAAGCTGCTGTCATTTTCGTTGTCTCTTGCTTTCAATCTTGCCTGGCACATTTTCATATTCATGCTGCATCTTTTGCTAACTGCTGGGTCAAGTTCTTGACAGCAGTTCCTCATTCGGTACTGTATCTTCTCTCAAATGTGTTTGGTTATGCTTTTGGGGAAGTGAATTTTGTTTCTGAACATGTGTTATTGTAGGAAAAGTAAACAGGGTTCTAGCATTTAAGAGTCTCCTTAAGGCAGACTTTGATAATCTCCTGATCATGCCAATCTGTTTATAGCCCATTGAACAGATCTATTAAATAATAGGCAGGCACAAATCTTGTTAATTTGTTTCCCTTCTCTCTTTCATATTATCTTACATATTTGACTGTGCTCTTTGACAATCTTACAAGGGCTTAGCCCAAAGCGGTAATCTTTGTTCTGATACAGTTTGATTGGAATTTAGACAGCAAAATTTTTTGTGAAGAGACATGTTTGGTAAAATGAAACACAGTTTCTATTGCCAGATTGTCCGTGTGATTCATATCCATGTTGGAAGATGATTTTAGAGCATCAGATGAATCCTTTATTCTCTACAGCTGTAAGGTGAGATCTATCAATGATGGCTTCCTCTTGAAAAACCTCCATTTGATAGCGCAGCATAGTTCTCATTTGGTTGGCCTATAGGAAAAAAGAAAGAAAACGCAGCAATGTTCGGAAGAATTTGGTAAAGTAAGAAAAGTAATCTTAAAACAATCAAAAGCAATTGAAAAATAAACCTGAAAGGTTGTTATACCATGATTATGCTATTAAAATTAACAATATAAAATTTAAGAACATTTGATTCAGTGAATATTATTTTCTAAAGCAGTGTTAGAGGAGATCTTTTGCAAGTTCAAGATTGACAACACATGAAGTCTTTAGAATTTTAACAATTTTATTATTTCATGAAATTATGAGGTGAGGGTGACTCCATTAATTGGTAATGAAATGAAAATGACAAGATTTGACAACTACTGTAGATAAGCCAAAGTCCCTAACATGGTGAGCCATTACTTTCTAAAGAGGACCAATCAACCAACCACATCTCCTCAATTCAAGACATTAAAGTTCTTTTTATGGGTAGAAAATTTATTAGGATTGGTCAAAAATACCAAAAAAAGTCCATAAAGTTTTGTCCCTACATGATCTCATTCCATGTATAACAAAGATATCCCAAAATTATTGTATCAAGAAAATCATTAGTTAGTTGAAAAAAAAAAAGGGAAAACAGGAAAATAATGTTCACCCATGACTCTACACCCCACGAATGTTGGGTTGCTTTGCAGAATGAGCAAGTAACCGAGGAAAAAGCATGTCATTTTGTGCATGGAGGTATGGAAGGAAGCAATCTCAAGGCTATCCTCTCTAAATCCAAATAAAATCTCCTATAAAATAATGAAAATTATATTCATTTATACAGCTGGCTCGATTTCCCATTACTGCTAATCCCAAGTAATAAACTCCTTTTGCCTCTTCCATTAGAAACTCTTCCTTTTTATAAACCCCTTTCAATTTCTGCCTTCTAACACCCTCAGCTCTGGGGTCAGCGTTTTGGATCCAAGCTTTCATCTATGTTTTTGAGCAAGTAAGTTTATCATATGCTTGGGTTTTGCTCATAGGGACCATATATTACAGGTTCTAATCACTTGTCTTGAAGGTATGGTCTAGACTTTAGAGGCTGTCACTGTTTAGCTACGCTATTTTTTAAAGCTCAGTTTTGGTTAAAAGGAAGATAAAAGTTTCCATTAGTTTCTTTGATCAATGAGCTCACCAGGGTTCTTCATTATTTGTGTGCTCCATTCTATAGTAGCTATTACTTGTGGAGCTTTAATGATGTTTTACACCAAGGAAGTTTCAGTTTTTGGCCATGGTCATGAGATTGCAAGTAAGCTACAAGGTTCAACACCTCATGATCAACTCTTGATCCAAACCTCTGAATCATTTTCTGGATTGCTTTTATTCACTATTGGTTTGGTAGTGTTCATGGTGGCATTTGTTAAAGACTCAGAATTCCAAAGCTTCTTTGCTAAAGGGTGTGTACTTCTTCATGTTTCAATGGTTATTTGGAGAGTTTCTTTTGAAGGAAAGCTTGAGGATCTTGCTCATGAGTGGCCTAGACAAGCTCTTGGGGATATTGCCTTGGCGCTCTCCTGGGTGTTCCTTCTTGTATATTCATGGAGGGAGAAGTATGATTAGTTAGGTTGATTCTTGAAAAGAAAGACAACTTTGGATTTTGAGTAGAAGTGATATTGTTAGCCGAAATCTGAACAAGAACTGACGCAAAACTGTTTGTTCAGCAAAGTAGGATTTCTGGAATTTCATGTCCAAACTGAAAAATGAATCTTGAAGCCTAAGAAAGATGTCTTGAGAAAATTGATGGAGTGATGGAATCCTGGAGTGTCTCCTGCTTGAATCTTGATCTGGATCTTGAACATGCTTAAGTTCAAAGAAAAGTGAAAAGGAATGTGATATGAGGCTGGCATGTTTGCTTTCATTCCGGAAGTGTGAATATGCTTTACCTTCTAATGCTGATGTTTGAGGGGCCTTGGCTTAATGTAATAAATTTCCATGTAATTTTTGCTACAGAAAACAATAAGAAATGTAAGGAATTGCTGCATTTTGTGTCAGGCTTTTTCTTGTTTGCCTAGTTGATCACTCAGTCAAGTCAGGAATGGCTAGTTGATCAACCCAATTGAATTTTTATACAGGAAGGGGTTGCAAGTATTAGACTCGAACCCCATACTCGCTGGATGTTACCTTTCAAAGATGATTACGTGAATAATTTGAGTAAAGTTTCGGGTTCCAATTGATTTATTCTTGAACAAAGATAAAAGTTCCAAAAACAAAATAAGTATTGATATTCTATATCCTTCGCTGTAAATTAAACTTCGACAATTTTAAATACAATATGGTAACACAATACAAAGATAATATGAAAAAAATTGAAAACAAAAAAATATATTTCATGTTTAACATATCAATGTGAATTATGACTTGATAATTCTTGTTTTTTACAAATGTTTTATACAAAATAAAAAAACACATGCATGAATTATCAGATTTAGTTTAAAGTTGTCATGAATTGAGGAAGTTTAAGTATCCCTTACCCTGCAGCTTTCAGCTTTCAGGGAGTCTTGAGTGTTCTGCTTCTGCATTAACAGAAACTTGTCAATTGTATGAAATGAAACTTCTTTCTTACAAGCTACAAGCCATTTTTTTTGTATTGAATTTCGGATTAGATTCAATCCTGTTTAGGATCGGTTGGCGACAGCCAAACTTAGTGGGTTTTTTCATTTTTTTTTAACAAACTGATGAGATATTGGAGTTTGAATGGTTAATTGCTCTAATTCAAGTAATTTATAATTGAGTTCTTCTATGCAATTTCTTCTCGAGATGAGTTCAGTTGTTACTCAAGTTTTGGATTGAATTTTTTTTTTATTTAATGATAGAGTTTTTGAATTTGGTTCAGTATTGGATTGAACAATTTTAAGTATTTATAATCTATACTATTATATATAAAAAAGATCCCGAAAGATCCTTGGGTTGTCACATGTCTCTATTTTTGGTTTGGTTTCTCATCATTTTTTCCTCTTTTGAAGAAGGGTTTTTTTGGCTTTTACTATTTCTTTTTATTTCTTCTAGAATTTTTTATTGCTTAGCTATCATCCTTGATGCCGTTTGTCCATATTTTCTCCTTTTTTCTATTTTTTTTTTCATTGTATTTCTTTGTTTTTGGGTTTGAATACATTATGGGTTTTGTTTTGTTAAAACTTTTTCTGCTCTATGGGGTTCTATATTCGTTATTTGTTTAGAAATTTCAGATTTTTTTCAATGAATGTGTTTCCCTTTTGATGAGTGACAAAATTTTTGGATATTTTATTTTTGGTGAGAGTTTTGCTTTAATTTGATGAGTATTTTATTTTATTTTTTTATAAATTATTAAATATTTGATATTGTTTTGATTTAAGGTCAACTCTTGTTCATATTGGTTTGATACTTTTCTTCAACCTTCGTAATAGTTGGATTACATGTATAATAGTTAGAATATGATTTTTTTTTTTCAAATTGTTGTGTTTTTTTATTTGATTACTTTTTTCTTTATGGTAAGGAGATAAAAGAGAGTTCAAAGTAGAAAGAGAGATGCCAAGCATTGAAGCAAAGCAAGCCAACATGATGGTATAATAAAAAGACCCAACAAAAGTAGGTCAAGTAATCCAAAAACATTTGCTGAGTTTTTAAGTTCTTTGTTTAGTAGTAAAAGACTAAGAGTATTAAAAACTAAAGCTTTCTGGTTCTTTCAATCTCTTACTTCACTCTTTTCACATCTAACGCTTTCTCTCTCTCTCTCTCTCTCTCTACATATATATATATATATATGTGTATATATCATTGAAGTTTTTTCTTTTACTCAGCTCTAGGTTTATCTTTTCCTCACACTCTCTTTACCTATTGATTCTTCTTATTTTTTTAATTTAGTTTGTTTGGCTTGGAACCTTAGCTTATTTTGTGTGCTGTTGGGTATTTGAGATACTAAGAAAAAACAAAAAAAAAATTACAAATTTGATATTATTTTTTTGTTGGTTATATGTAACTTAGCATTAGTTTCTTTGAGCTTAATAAAATATTGGGTTGGTTATATTTAACCACTACATATTTACTAAGCAGTTAATAAGTTGTTTCTTTTTTTTTTATATATGTATTGGTTCTCTTACATTTGAGAAATTGTTAGGAGTAGTAACTAAAAGACAATTGTTGCAGGGAAGAGCTTTGATGAGTTTGGTGCTAAAGAGCTGAATGAGGAGTTGAAATAATGCTTATGACTTTCTCATGTTTTTATTCTAGAAAAATAAAAAGACTCTAACAAACTTGAAAACATATATAGTAAAATAGTAGGATGTAGGGTGTGCAATGGTCCATAGTCGTTCATGGTCCTTAGACCAATGATTTTGGACAGATTTTATGATGGTTTTAAAATTAGACGAATGATTTATGATTTAACATTTATAAAGTTTAAATTAATGGTAGAAAAGAAGTTAATTTTTATTTTGTTTGCCCCTAATTACTATATCTTAAGATTGTTGAGAAAGCGATTGTTATGCTTGCGTATATGAAATATGAATCTGTTAAGTTGGTTGAAAAAGTAATAAGTACTTCTATTTTTTATAAGATAACCTTTTTTACCTTATATGGATGTAAACGGATTGATAAATGTATTAATTTCCATGTAGCGATGTTAGATGATGCAAGAAATTGGAAGATTGGCCTTACGGTCCACCTAATGCTTAGTCATGCAATATTTTTTGCTTTAGTTACTTCTTCTATTAGCTCCCTCTCTTCTACTTCTATGTTTGTGAAATCCAATAAATTATGAATTAAATAAAAAACAAAAAAAAAGAATAAAATTTTTGTTTGATTTCAAAAAATAATTGAATGGGTAGTAGTCTGTTTATTAAGAGTTGTTTAACATTTCATATGACCATATAGTTTCTAGCATGAAACTTATGCCATGTTTATCAATAGAACAAAATTTTAATATTAAATAAGTGAGCTTTTGTTAGATTAGATATTCCTTTACCACATACAAACAATACCAAAAGGAAATCCAATTACTATTATTTTTTTGAATTTGTGTCCTATAAATGACATATTTTATTAATTTCAGTTGAAAATCTTGGTTTGATGGAAAAAATTCATTATGTTTGGCTAATTTCAATTTTTTATTGATTCATGAAGCAAGACTAGACTATTGATCTTTATTTGTATTCTTTCATCCTTAGTCAAAACTTACCCATGCAAGAAAGAAAAAGAGCTATGATGAAGAAGGTTACTATGAGAATGATGATGCTTCTATATCTGAGTAGCAGTCAAATAAGAAACAACAAGAACATTCTTATCAATCGTGTGACATCCATTCACAGTAGTATTGCATAAGTGCCTATCCAATTATTACAATAAGTATTTACCTTAAGTTGGCCTTTTCCTGTGCTGTTATGGAATACATCTAATTTAAGTCTTATTTAAATTATCTTTTAAACACTTTGGTTTAGGGTTGCTTACCTATTTCTTGCTCACGTATAAGCTAGGACATTGATGTTTAATTTACAATTCTAATTAAGTTAAATAAAAGATAAATTGAATTGATACAGGAATGGACTTTGCAAAGTTAAAAGGTGTTGAAGAATGAATAGTTAAAAAAAATTAGTTTTACAAGTTTCATGAATAATTAATCAGTGAAACTTATAAAAGTTTATGTTCCATTATGCTTAAATGGTTTAATATGTAATTTTTTACTATTTTCAGTAATTACATGTTTAATCTGTAATTGCATGTAAAATGATGTAATTGATATTGCTATTGTCATTATTAATTTACATATATGATCTTTTTTATTTTTTCTACTTTAATTAGTTAGGCTAATTGAATATTTTACATCGCTATTTTATTTTAGTATAAGCTCTTATATTCATACAAAGTTTAAATCTTTTATAGAATGCAATATTTCTTAATTGCAATAATTTGTTTCCTTAGCTATAGTGAATCCTTTTGTCTTTTATCTTTTCTATTTCTTTCTTTTGTAATTATAAATTTTCAAGTTTATTCTATTTATATTATATGATTTTTTACTAAAATATCATTTTTTTCTTATATTTATTCCATGATGCGAAACAAATACAATTATATCATTATCACATACCAAAATTTTCGATAGTCAAATAATCTAGAATTAAGTCTAGTGAGATTTGAAACCAATCTATATTTCTTATATCTTCTTTAATATCATAGGTTATATCAAGAAAAGATTAAAGATAATATTGGTTTCATGAAGAATTACCATATAGGTTTATAGTGATCAATAAATTTGTAAAAACTTTCAAGTCACTTCATATTGGATCAGACATCCGGCGCTAGCTTGCCAATCCATTTGACAGGTGAAAGAGCCACCTGCAACAAAAATCAGATATGGAGCTATCAAAAAGAAATTGATGAAAGTCTACTTATCAAGAAAAGTTATTTTGATGAAAAAAAAATATGTTCTTACATGTTTTTAAAATATTTCGGGTAAGTAGTATTGTTCTTTTTAATCATCGCTTTTAACAAAATAATTACGACATAAACATAAATGTATGTCACGAACAATGCATGAGTCCTAGAATAAGAAGATTGCGTGACGAGACTTACTCGAAGTGATGCGGGCAAAGCACGCTCGCGGCCTGTGACACATACGTGTGGTACTAAATTTTTAGAGAAAGGTGCGTCCTTTGGATCCAATTGTTGTGCCAACAGCCAACCAAGCTGTTCGATTACAAAAAACGTTTTTTTTCCTTACTTGATTTTGGTGTGACCTATAATCGAGAAATGGGACCTTCAAACAAATGCAAATCTCCTTAATAATCATTTTTTTATTCTGAAAATTCTAATTATGATTTTGATATGCTTACAATTTACAAATTTACAAGAGTAACCTTTTTTTTTTTACATATAAAATATATATTTAATGTATTTTTGATATATAAATTTTATTTTGTCGTTTCAGTAATAATAAAGATATAATTTTTATCATTATCAAGTGTTAATTTGATTGATTCATGTTATTTTCTATTTGGGTTTTTGTTGTTCTGATGAATTGTGACTGCTTTTTCTTTTTCCTGATGAAAATTGGGTATTTTTCCATTTTTATGAGGTTGTTTGGCTCTATGGTATGAATTGGATCTGCCAGAAAACTTAAATGAATCCATTGACAGAGAGGACTCTGTATGTCTTGGATCCTTGAGTAAACATTTTTCCCTTTCTTATTTTTCCAAGCAATACTAATCAGACTTGTTGGATCTACCTCGGATGACCATATGTGAATTAACCGAGCTAAGATCTGGGTTTGGTCATATGTTTATTTTCGAGTCTCATCATTATATGGAAAGAAGGATTATTAGAATCAAACTAGAGAAGAGTTATGCTAATAGTAATTCATTAACCAGACAAGGCCATAGCCATGGTTATTACATCACAGAATATGACATGACTGACAGAAATGAAAAACACACACATACAACAAAAGACACAAATTATTCAACCCATATTTCATTATTTTTTAGGTCCCAATATTGCCATGAACTAACACATCATTGTTCTATGTTTGCTTAATGATCACCACATGTGCAGTTTGTGCAGCTGCAGCTAGCTCCGCACTTGCACTTGCCATCGTTCTCTGCCGCAGCCTCGACCACGACAGTGTTGATGTAGCTGCCCAGAAACAACACAACAGATTACAATTAGCATATGCATATGAATACTGCAAATTAAGTTACTCAGGGATGGATCAGATCTTAGCAGCATATGTGAAATTTATGTGTGTATATTATTGGTTTGTTTCTTTGCTGATATCAGAACCTTTGAAGAGCACAAGTATACGTACCTTTTCTCAGTCTCAACGACCAAGGTGTTTCCCTTCTTCCTGAGGCATAAAAAAACCAGAAAAAAAAAAAAAAAAAAAGCTTTTAGTTTCAATTATACTTGATTGCAAACTCATGAAGAGCTTAAAATAACAGCTAGTATAAATTTCCACTAGACCTGATAAAGAAAAAAACACGAAAATAATATGATTTAAAATTTTAACAAGAATCGGATTTGGTAAAATTTTAACAAGTTGTCTTGCAGGCAACAAGGGAGGAAAAGATATAATAGATGGTTTTGAAAAGTTTTGTTCAGCCTAAGAGTAACATGTTATATAAACCTGAAACTCATTAAGATCATGAACACAAAAAGTTAGCAACAGTAACATGGTCTCAAACAACACAACCCTAGAACTACCGCTGAAGGTTTGTCATGGATTAATGGGGAATCGATTACTTACGTGCACTGGCTCGAGTCTGCGCAGTCGCAGTCGCCGCACTTGTCAGACATGGTGAATTTGGAAAGTTGTTGAAAGTGAGAAGTGAAAGTTGTATTTGCTTGAAATGGGATTGCTATATCTCCAATGCTTTGCACCATCCACCATGATCATGTATTTATAGATGGAGAAGGTGCAAAGGGAGAGGTACTGTTTCTTTCATGTGGGCTCGCATAGGCATGGGAGAAGCACACGCTTCCCGAGAAAGAGTCCAAAGGAATCTTGATAATGGAGGAGGGATTTGGCTTACTATCCGCCTCTCATGTCAATTTCATTTCTCCTTTTTGAGATATATTTATAGATCTCAATCAATCTTTCTCTCACTTAACAAGTGGAAAGACGATAGAGTGTTAGAATTTTTAATTTTAGTAATTAAGATTTAAATTTTGATAATTTTAATTATAAAAAAAAATAAAAGTATCATGTGCTCTAATCACTAGTCTTTTATTAGAGCATACCAAATTGATCTTTGAGTGTTAGTTTAATTGATTATATTTTCTTTTAAGATGATTAATTGTAAATTTAAATTTTAAATTTTAACATTTATATATATTTTTTTGAGTTATGATTTTTGGTAAAAAATGAAAAGATTTATTTTAAGATTCTCTTAAGAGAATTTCTTTTCAAGATTGTTGGTAGGAAATTTCTTGATGCTTTGAAACACTTTAGTAACCAAAGCCAAGAAAGAAAAAAAAGGTAAAATGGCTTTAGTTTGTGATGGATATTGATTAGAACATTGACTTTTTTTTTTTGAAAATTTTAATTTATTCTAATATCTCTTATTCTATTATTTATTTTGTTGAAAAGGATAATATGCGTATAAATTTTTTAAATTTATAATTTTTAAGTGTTAATTTTAATGATATATCAACTAATCTAAAAGACGATCGGTGCAACATTGACATTTTTAGCATCTTTTATCTTGGACATAATTTAATTACAAGTATGGTATAATCAATCTTATGGACAAAATGTGAGTGGCAGTTACATCATTCACATCATTACATATTCTTAATGTGTTCCTTCTCCTTTTTCAAAGGTAAGTTGATCTTTGAGTGTTAGTTTAATTGATTATATTTTCTTTTAAGGTGGTTAATGGTAAATTTAAAATTTAATATTTAAATTTTTTTTAAGTTATGATTTTTGGTGAAAAAATGAAAAAAAATCTATTTTATGATTCTTCTAAGAGAATTTCTTTTCAAGATTGGTAAGAAATTTCTTGATGCTTTGAAACACTTTAGTAACCAAAGCCAATATAAAAAAAATGGTAGAAGGGCTTTAGTTTGTGATGGTTATTGATTAAAACATTAACAATTCTTTTTTGAAATTCTTAATCTATTCTTAAACCTTTCATTCTAATACTTAATTAAAAAGAACATTACGTGCATAAGTTTTTTTAAATTCACAATTTTTAAGTGTCTAATAATATGTCAATTGATTCAAACGATAGTCGGTGGAATACTGACATTTTTAGCAGCTTTATCTTGGACATAATTTAATTATAAGTATGGTATAATCAATCTTATAGACAAAATATGAGTGGCAGTTACATCATTCACTTGATTGCATATTCTTAATGTGTTCCTTCTCCTTTTTCAAAGGTAAATTGACATAACATATTAAAATTTGCATAGTTTTATATATTCTAATGTTGTATATAAAAAGTTTATAATGTAAAAAATAAATAAAAATAAATTCATTACATAAAAGAAATATTTAATTTCCTTTTTTATTGATGAAAGTTAAAATCTAATTTTTAGTTTTTCAATGTATTTTTGTTTTGTAAATGCATTTTTAATTATTTTTTTCTTTTTGAAATAAAAAAGTAAAATACTAATAGTCACAAAGATAACTATAACTATATATATATATATATATATATATATAAATGGAGCTTACAACTTCTTAGGATTATGATATTATCTCAAAAATTCCATCAAGATGATCATGCATATATTTTTTTTCACTTTCTATTTGCTTTAAAAAATGTAGCTCTCTAGCATCCAACATGCATATGTTTGGCATAAATTACCCTTAAATATTGACCATCCAAATGCTAAGCATCTTTTTGGGAAGATTGATGGAGAATTTAATTCTCTTTGGCTCATATACTTTAAAAAAAGTATAAATTTCTTATACTAATAGTAATTCATTAACCAGACAAGGCCATAGACATGGCCATTACATCACAGAACATGACGTGACTGACAGAAATGAAAAACACACACATACAAAAAAAGACACAAATTATTCAACCCAAATTTCATTATTTTTTAGGTCCCAATATTGCCATGAGCTAAAACATCGTTGCTCTATGTTTGCTTAATGATCACCACAAGTGCAGTTTGTGCAGCTGCAGCTAGCTCCGCACTTGCACTTGCCATCGTTCTCTGCCGCAGCCTCGACCACGACAGTGTTGACGTAGCTGCACAGAAACAACACAACAGATTACAATTAGCATATGCATATGAATATTGCGAATTAAGTTCCTCAGGGATGGTTCAGATCTTAGCAGCATATATATATATATATATTATTGGTTTGTTTCTTTGCTGATGTCAGAACCTTTGAAGAGCAAAAGTATACGTACCTTTTCTCAGTCTCAACGACCAAGGTGTTTCCCTTCTTCCTGAAGCATAAAAAAATCAGAAAAAAAAAAAAAAAAAGCTTTAGTTTTCGGTTATACTTGATTGCAAACTCATGAAGAGCTTAAAATAACAATTAGTGTAAATTTCCACTAGACCTGACAAAGAAAAAAACACGAAAATAATATGATTTAAAATTTTAACAAGAATCGGATTTGGTAAAATTTTAGCAAGTTGTCTTGCAGGAAACAAGGGAGGAAAAGATATAATAGATGGTTTTGAAAAGTTTTGTTCAGCCTAAGAGTAACATGTTATATAAAGCTGAGACTCATTAAGATCATGAACACAAAAAGTTAGCAACAGTAACATGGTCTCAAACAACACAACCCCAGAACTACCGCTGAAGGTTTGTCATGGATTAATGGGGAATCGATTACTTACGTGCACTGGCTCTTGTCTGCGCAGTCGCAGTCGCCGCACTTGTCAGACATGGTGAATTTGGAAAGTTGTTGAAAGTGAGAAGTGAAAGTTGTGTTTGCTTGAAATGGGATTGCTATATCTCCAATGCTTTGCACCATCCACCATGATCATGTATTTATAGATGGAGAAGGTGCAAAGGGAGAGGTACTGTTTCTTTCATGTGGGCTCACATAGGCATGGAAGAAGCACACGCTTCCCGAGAAAGAGTCCAAAGGAATCTTGATAATGGAGGGATTTGGCTTACTATCCTCCTCTCATGTCAACTTCATTTTTCCTTTTCGAGATATGTGTATACATCTCAATCTTTCTCTCACTTAACAAGTTGAAAGACGATAGAGTGTCAGAAATCTTAATTTTAGTAATTAAAATTTAAATTTTGATAATTTTAATTATAAAACTAAATTTCGTGTGCTCTAATCACTAATCTTTTATTAGAGCATACCAAATTGATCTTTGAGTGTTAGTTTAATTGACTATATATTTTTTTAAAGGTGATTAATTGTAAATTTAAAATTTAAATTATAACATTTATATATATATATTTTTTAAGTCATGATTTTTGGTAAAAACTGAAAAGATCTATTTTAAGATTCTCCTAAGAGAACTTCTTTTCAAGATTGTTGGTAAGAAATTTGTTGATGCTTTGAAACACCTTAGTAACCAAAGCCAAGAAAATAAAATGGTAAACTGGCTTTAGTTTGTGATAGATATTGATTAGAACATTGACTTTTTTTTTTTTTTGTGAAATTTCTAATCTATTCTTAAATTTTTTATTTTATTATTTATGTTATTGAAAAAATATTACGCACATAAATTATTTCAAATTTATAATTTTTAGATATTAATTTTAATAACATATCAATTAATTCAAAGGACAGTCGGTGAAATATTGACATTTTTAGCACATTTATCTTGGACATAATTTACTTACAAGTTTGGTATAGTCAATTTTATAGACAAAATGTGAGTGGCAGTTACATCATTCACATCATTACATATTCTTAATGCGTTCCTTCTCCTTTTTCAAAGGTAAGTTGATCTTTGAGTGTTAGTTTAATTGATTTTATTTTCTTTCAAGGTGGTTAATCATAAATTTAAAATTCAAAATTTAATATTAAATTTTTTTTAAGTTATGATTTTTGGAGAAAAAAAGAGAAAAATCTATTTTAAGATTCTCCGAAGAGAATTTCTTTTCAAGATTCTTGGTAAGAAATTTCTTGATGCTTTGAAACACTTTAGCAACCAAAGCCAAGATAAAAAAAATGGTAGAAAGGCTTTCGTTTGTGATGGTTATTGATTAAAACATTAACATTTTTTTTTTTTTAAATTCTCAATCTATTTTTAAACTCTCCATTCTAGTACTTAGTTAAAAAGAACATTACGTACATAAATTTTTTTAAATCCATAACCTTCAAGCGTCCAATGATATGTCAATTAATTTAAAGGATAGTTGGTGGAACATTGACATTTTTAGCACATTTATTTTGGACATAATTTAATTATAAGTATGGTATAATCAATCTTATAGACAAAATATGAGTGGCAGTTACATCATTCACTTGATTACATATTCTTAATGTGTTCCTTTTCCTTTTTCAAATGTAGGTTGACATAACATATTAAAATTTGCATAGTTGCATATATTCTCATGTTGTATACAACAAGTTTACAATGTCAAGAATAAATATAAAAATAAATCCATTACATAAAAGAAATATTTAATTTCCCCTTTTATTGATGAAAGTTAAAATCTAATTTTTAGTTTTTCAATGTATTTTTGTTAATTTTGTAAATGAATTTTTAATTATTTTTTCTTTTTGAAATAAAAAATTAAAATAATAATAGTCACAAAGATAAACAAATATATATAAATAAATGAAGCTTACAACTTCTTAGGATTATGATATTATCTAAAAAATTCCATCAAGATGATCATGCATTTTTTTTTTTCGCTTTCTATTTGCTTTTAAAAATGTAGCTCTCTAGCATCCAACATGTATATATTAGGCATAGATTACCCTTAAATATTGACCATCCAAATGCTAAGCATCTCCTTTGGGAAGATTGATAGAGAATTTATTTCTTTTTGGCTCATATACTTTAAAAAAAGTATAAATTTATTATTCTTGGAAGGTGAAAAAGAATTTCTCTTCCTTTCCTCTCTTTCCATCATTCTATCAATTTTTATTTTCCTTTTTATTTCAAAAATAAATTTCATATATTTTTTTATTTTCATTTTCATTTTTTATAAATAAAAAAATGATGTAACATTTCTTTTCCATACATCATAATTTTATGTGATGTTCTAGCCATATCAGTCAAATGACTAACACTATTAGTTTCAAGATCAAAGTGTTTGATGAAATACAAATTCAAGTACTTAATTATAAGTTTTTATTCTCTAAAATACTAATTTGACAAAAACAATATAGTATAGGTGCCAAATGAATATTTAATCCTATTAGAAAAAATTTTGACTTTACCCTAAAGAAGAGATCCTTATGAGTTTATTAAAAAGATGTCACAATCATTAATATTTGTTGTAAAAATAAAAGGAAGAAAATGTGAAGAAAATCAATTGTGAAAGAAATAACTAGAATGGAAAGTCCAATTCGCTCTTTATATATGTAAATATATATTTTATTTTTTATTTATTTCTTTTGATGTGAATTGCTAATATTTGCGAACAAAAGGCTTATTGGTGGTGGTGATGAGTTTTTTTTCGTATAGCAATTGCTTCTTCAATTTGCCAACGTTCCTTTCAAATCTCCTATCAAACCAAATATAGCCTTACGTGTTTTCAAGCTTCTTATCCACAAGTAGCAAAGAGAAATCATGGTTGTCCACCTCACTTTCCTTTTCCCTCCCTCTATCCATATCAATATCAAATTTTGTTGGATTGCATAAAAATCAAACCCATTTTGACAATTTCATGAATTAAAAATTGTTGCCCAATTGGGTTCTTGGTAGATAAAGTAACCCATCAAGGAAATAGGCAATGGTACAGCAATGGCTATGATAAAGGAAAACTGCCCAAATATGAATTATGGTGTTGAGGCTTCCCTTTTCCTTCACCCTTGAAAGGTAACTTGCATTTCAAACCACATACTTTGTGAGTGTGATTGGCCTTAATATATGGAAGAAGAACACACCACAAAATTACAAGACCAAACCAGCTCATGTTGATATGAACTTCACAACTTTAGTCTTGGATTGGAAACAAAAGTCTTGAGTTGCTTTTCAATAATGCTATGATATTATATATATATATATATATATATAAAAGAAGAGAAGAAGCTTTAAGTAATTGTTGATTTCTTTACTTTTTTAATCATGAAATCAAGTTTTAAGTCTTAAAGTAAGTTTCAATTTTTTATTTGATAGAAAGTAAATTTCATTTTATAAAGAGAAGAAGCTCCCCGTACTCTCATATTCCTAATTATCCATTGGGCCTTTGGTAGTTTGGTCTGTTGGGCAACCTTTACTAGGTCTGGCCTTCCCTTTACAGGTCACAGCTCCCCAGGCCTTGAATTAATAGATATTTTTCAAAGTTTCTTGTATCAATCAATTTCTTTTTTTTTTCCTTCTTAACAGTCATTCAAGCATAACAGAATATCTTTCTAATAGCATTTTAAACAAAATTGTTTTTTTTTTTTATAAATATATATATATTTGTTTACTTTTAATTAGTATATTAAGTAAATGAAAACATAATTATAAAATATAAATAAAATTATAAATTATAAATTCAAAACTAAATGAAGCAAACAATAGTTTACTCTTTTATATTGAGGAGATATTTGATTTAGAAAAAGTAAAATTTTCGATTCAAATTTTATTTTTCGTAATTTGATTCATTAATTTGGATTATAAAGTATGATTATTGAAATTTTTTTTAAATTTTAATAATATCAATAAAATTTTAAAAAAACATATATTATATTTTAATATTATTTTTTTATTAAATTTAAAAATTCACGGATCAAACAACCCAATTAATTTAGCTGATCTCCTATTTGCATTCAAGCTGAAGAGAATTTGTTGACTGTGGGATGAGGTGTCAGCTTATTTAAAAGCAAAATCAAGGGCTACAGCTGAAACATAATACAACAAACTTCGATCATTATTAGCAAATCTTTGTTGAAGACAGGAACAAGTAACGTTAGAACAAATGGAGTTTCTTGGTGGCATATATATGTTGTAGTCATTGATTTAATTTTAAATGAGATGGCATTTCATCTAATCATGAAATGGACCCTCCAATTGATAGATCAAAAGGAGAGAAGCCAAATCCCACATTGAATGCTCATTTTCGGTAAACATTTTTTATTTGAAAAAAAAAGAGATTTGAACACTTTTTTTTTTTTTTAACTAAAGGATCATACATCAATTACAAAATGAAATGTGGGAGTGGAATTTTTTTTTGTTTTAAAAAATTTTAATTAAATATTGATGTTACTAAAAAAATTTTTGTTTTGTAAAAATTAGATTTATTAGAAAATAAATTATCAAATACATTGATAATAAAATTTTTAAAAGTATATAAATGGGATTAAAAGGATTATACATATCTTTTAAAATATAATAAAAAATAATTAAAAAAAATGGATAGGTGTCAATCTTTTAAAGAAATTTGAAATTTAATCTTTCTAGTATAATTTATAGAAATATATGTTTTATACTGTTTTGATTTGATAATTTTAGTCAAATTATTAATCTTATCAAATATTTTTCGTTAAAAATGTTGACGTAGCAATTAACCTTGCTGGAAATCGACATGTTGATGTGCTTAATAAAATCAATTATCAAATTATGTAAATGGCTTATATACTCACATAAAATTTTAATTTTAATCCTTCTAGCATAGTTTTATAAAAACTTCATTCTCGCACGCGTTGAATTTGATAATGTGTTATTAATGTGATCAATTACTTTTTGTAAACTTTGCTAATGTGACCATTCTTTTTTTGAAAAAAATAAAAAAATTATAAAGTCTTAAAAATTCAATAGAAAATATATGAAAAATTAAAAATGATAAAAAGTAAAAAAAAAAAAGATTTTTAGGATTTTTTAAAAACATTAAATTGACTTTTTCAATAATTTAATGTTTTAAAAAGGAATATTTTTTATTTTATAGAAAAATAAGGCTTTAATTTTAAAAATTCATATTTATGAATTATTTATAATTTTTCTTCAATTTTAAAAATATTAAGTTTAATAATTTTCCAATATTTTTATTTTTAAGAACATAATATTTCCTTTATTTTTAAAAAATCAGATTTTAAGTTTTTAAAAATTAGTTTTAATTTTTAGAATTTATCAATGTTTTTAAAAAATATATTTTATTTTATTTTTCAATACTTTAATTTAAAATATTAAATTAATATTTTATAAAATCTAAAAATTCCTTAAAATTATAAATTTTTAAAATTTTTTAGACAATTCAAAAAATATTATTTAAAAAATATTAGTAAATATTTAAATCCTATAAAAATTGAGAATTATTTTTAAAAAATGAAATCTGATTTTTCATAAAAATTCAAGCCTTATTATTTAAAAAAAATTAAAATATTGAAACAAATAAAATTACTATTTAAAATTTGAAAATTGAAAATAATTCAAATATTGATTTTTTAAAAAAATTGAAATCCGATTGTTAAAAAAGTCAAGAAATATGATTTTTTTAAAATTAAAATATTTGAAAAATCAAATTTAATGTTTTTAAAAATTAAAAAAAGGGCCTACAAAATTAGATTTTATTTTATTTTTATTTTTGCAAAATAAAAAAAATTAGGATACTCTTTAATTCTCAGAGATATTTTTGAAAGGATAATGGTTACATTAGGAAAGTTAATAGAAATAATTGATCTCATTAATAATTAAATCAATACTATTAAATTCAACTTGTATGAGAATGAGATTCTTTTGAATTATATCATTAATATTAAAATTTAAAATTCAAACGTGTATATAAATTATTTTTATAATTTGATAACGAATTTAATTTATCTTGTTATATTAGCAAAGTTAACGTCGTGTTACCAAAATCAATATCATGATAGCAATGTCAACACTTATATTATTAAGTTAATGATAACATTAATATTTACAATGATAAAAATTTGATGGAGATTAATGATTAAATTAAAATAATATAAAAATGATATTGTTATAAATTATAAAAGAGAGATTAAATTTTAAATTTCATTAAAATATAAGAATCATTATTGTAATTTGACTAAAAATTACAATAACATTGTATCAAATAATTTTTTTTATCAAAAACAATTTTTAAAAAGAAATCCTTATCAAATATTTTAAACACTGCTTTACCAAATCTAAAATGTTTTTGAAAATGACTTAAGTTTAAGCAAGGAAAACAAATAAAAAGGATAATTTTTTTTAGCAAAACAAATTACGTTCATTTTCCACGTCAGCAAATATTTATCTAAATCCCCCTGCTTCGTCCCCACGCCTCTGTGGGTCCCATTCGATTAGAGAAGCACACGTTACGTCATCAGTTTGTTCTTAGTCCTAAAATAAATTACAACAAATTCCTGCACAAAAATATCCAATGCGCTAGCCCCGATATCCGCCGCTGATAGATCCTACGATCTTAATATACGGTCAAGAATCCCCGATATGGTCAACTGTTTTCTCGTATTCAGTCAACTCCACCTGGCTTACCCGGAAAGCCTGGGCCTTGATCCTATACACTTATCCCCACTTAAACTTTCCGAGTAGTCGTTACTGGTTCGTGACACGTAAGCTCTGCAGGGCCCACGTTAAACCAATTAAAGGGAAAATGGTAATTTGAAGAAGAAGGAGCTGATTATATATTTACACAACTAGGCGCGAAGCCAGACACCGTAAAAGAATTAAAAAATCAATTTTCCCGTTCGAAAAATCACTAAAGCGGCGTCGTTTTCCTCATGAGCACATAGTCTACTAAGCCGCCGCCGCCGCAGCATTCGACTCGGCGAGCCAAGTACAATACGCGGAATTTCTGACTGTTTCTTTAAAATACTTTTTTTTATTGTTTGTTTGATTTAAAAAAAAAAAAAAGAAAAAATTTGAGCGTCCTTTGGGGTTTCCTTTGATGACTTTTCTTGCCCTTTGTCGTACTTTCTCCCCTCACTTTCTCACTGTCCAAACGGGAATCGAGTGTTTTCTTCTTCTTCTTCTTCTTCGAATTCCAGTTCCTTGATGGACCCCGAAGTGATCGAGATTCCTCCTCCGATTCATCGCTCTTTTAAGTCTAAACAAAAACAGGTCACCCCCAATAAAAATCATTTCTTTTTTCTTTTTTAAATTTGCCTATCTCATTTTGTTATTCATTTAGCTTCTTTTTTTTATAAAATATCATTTCTTTGAACTTTGAATTCGAATACATACAGTGATCGCTCCTGTTGTTACTTTTGTTATGAGAACTTTGATTGATCGGTTGATTTGGGAATTGTATTGATTTTTTTTTTTGTTTGGATCATTGTTAGTATTGATTTATTAGGTTTAAAGGAGTAAATTTTGGATTTTTATAGTGAAAACTTATGAGTTCACTCATCACTGTGGGTTGGGACTTGGGACTATTTTTTTTCAATCATAGGGATTTGAAGTTGCCAAATTTATTCCTTTTATGGATTTTTTTGTTTTAGTTTTACCATTTTGAAATTTGGCTGGTGTTGGAGTTTGGTCTTTGAACTAATAATAGAAAGGGAGTAGTTTTTGTGGCAACTTTGGTGACTGTTAAGTGTCCCTTGCCCTTATTGGTTAGGGAACCAACGCTTGGAGGGGCCCGACTGAACAGGTTGCAACAATGGGTCCTTTCTTAGGCCCCTGTCGCCGGGTTTAAAAAATAAGCGTGCCTGGTAAACAAGTCGATGATTACTGAGCATCTATCCTAACTTGAACTCTTACTTCTCCTTGCACAAAACCACTTTCGGCTACTTTTTGGTCACTTAGTGACACCACTAATAATATCTCTTTTGACGTGGGGGACTTTAAAGATTCAGTTTCCTTTTGGTGTGGAATTGCTTTATAGCCTTTTAATGTAATTTATAGATTATTTACTGTTTGTTGATGGCGTATAAATTGGATTAATTTCATGTTTTGTAAAGGATGATGCTTTGCTTTAAATTTTGATTGCATATAGGTTTGTTGTCGAGATGAGTTTGCTTTTGCATATTTCTTAGGGTAAATGTAGTAGCATTGTATTTTCTTTTAATACTGGATGAAGATAGTTGATTTGTGTATATATAGTTAGAATAGATGTTTGAAATGAGTATAATTGGCTTCAAGCTCTTTTGTCAGTGCTCAAATGTGGTTTGGTTTATTATCAGGCAGTTTCTTAGGACTTCTCTAGTTTGTTAGCTTGAGCTAATTGAGATCACTCGAGATTGAAGGGCAATATCCTTACACTCATAAAATTCTGAAGAAAGTATTGAGCATTTAAACTAATAAGGTTTGACTTGTTTAATTGCTCAGCTATAAGTTTTAGGTACAAATTAAGTCTCTTCTCCCATGTTTGAGGTTGAAAATGTCCTATATTTGTTAAAATTTGGATTTGGTCAGTAAGGAGTAAGGACTTGATATATGCATTTTCTTGCTTAATAGTCTATTGAGCTTGACGTTGGACATTATCTGTGTATTATTTGAAATGGGAAAGAGGGCACACCAGATAGTCATTTTTTGTGGAGTGTGGCCATAGATTGGATAGAATGTTAGAAAAGCATTCTATTGGCTGACTCTACTATTTTGAGGTTAAGATTCACTTTTAATAAATAAAGTTTTGTAGATAAATAAACTCCGAATCTAGCTATTCAGCCTCAAGAAACATCTAGTATATTATACAAGCTTCCTTATTAGAAATAGAGACAAACACAGTTTTAGCAAAGCCTTACACTTACATTCTTTAAACGATTTTTTATTGTTATCTTGTTTCTCTCACATCAGCCTTATTGCTCTGAGAAAAATCATTCTTATGTCATGGGTTACTAGAAAGTTAATGTTTCATATCTTGGCAGGCTGTTATTCATGAAGTAATTGATGTTGATAAAGATGATGATTCAACTGATAGAGTGATTCTTGATGAAAGAGTTGATGTAAGGAACAAAGGGAAAGCAGTAAAAAGTAGCTCTGGTGTTTATGGTATTAATCAAGCTGAGGTATGTGAGAGGTTGGATGTTCTTGTAGTAGTTACTGTTTATTGTGCCTAGCATCAGATTTATGCACATTTGGACTTATGATTTTGTTTGCTTACTTTTTCCCCATTTTCAATACAGGACTTTGTGGCTAAATCTCTTGGTTCAGTAAACAAGGTTGAACCTTCTAAGCTTTCTAACCAAGGATTGCATAATGTAAATAACTTTAAATTTGATTTGGCCTACGATGATGAGTTTTTTGATAACTATTTCACTAATGATTTCATGGATGATGAGTATGCCATGTTGCAAGCACATTTTGATAATGTTGATATTCCTGCTGGAGTAGAGGCATCCATCCCTTGGTTTGCAGATTTTTCAGAGAGGAAAAAGAAAACTTCTGATGGAAACATTTCATTGAGTGTTGATGGGAATGACGAATCTCTTTCGTCATGGTTATCAGAGCCTGCTCATATGAACAAGAAGGCAACTTCAGTTAATAGTTCAAGTTTCCAGACCCCAGGGGATCCTTTGAGTTATTCTCCTGGAGTTGCAAGTCTGCCTACACCTTTGTTATTTCCACAAGGTTCTCAAAGTAAGAAAAAGTCAGCTACTTCGCGGCGTGGTCAAAATCTTCCATTTGGGCAGTCATTGCAGTCTTCCCAGGCTGGTGGTTCTACTAATGGTAGTAGTGTGAATCACTCTGATGCAATGATGCTCCCTGATGCAATGATGCTCCCTGATGCAGTAAATCAATCTTATTGGGATCATTTTAATTCTGCCATACAGAAGCAAATTGATGCTAGTAGTTTGCATTCAAATTTTCCTACATCTGTAGATACATTAAATCACGTTGTGGTTGCAGAACCATCCATGTCTTGGTTGCAACCCCTTATGAACCCCCCAAAATATAGTTTTAATAAGCACAATGTCTATTCAAGTTTTCCTGATCCAGTTGATGGTGCTTATATTACTCCTGAAGAAGTGGCAGACATTAGAAATCAGAGAAATGTAAATGAAGAAGATATCCTCAGCAAGCTCCAGCTTTTTAAACAGTTTGATACTGTTGAAGATTTTTCAGACCATCACTATGCTCCCATTGGTGCTTCAACGAAACAGGTGAATAGCTTTTAAATGTATATTAAGGTCATCCTTTTCTTTGTTATTGTTATATTCTTAGTTTTTCAACCTATTAACGTGGCCTTTGTTAATTCTATTTGTGGTAGCCACCGAAGAATTGGGCAAAGAAGATTCAGGAGGAGTGGAAAATACTTGAGAAGGATTTACCAGGTGAGTTTTAAGCATTATATTCTTCTCTGAGAGAATTTTCATTTGATAACTTGTTCATCCCTTTTAATTAAATCTGTCAGTTATTGAATACTGCAAACTTGAGTTGTGACTCAGAGTGCACATTAAGTTTTGGATGCAATATTAACAGCTGAGATCTTCCACTGTGCTTGCAACGATTTCCTTTTTTGCTGATGAAATGTATAATTAATATTGTTTCTTACTTTGTGTCTTTTTTATTGTTTCAACAGATACTATTTTTGTTAGGGTTTATGAATCAAGAATGGATCTCTTAAGGGCTGTAATTATAGGAGCAGAGGGCACCCCCTACCATGATGGTCTCTTCTTCTTTGATGTTTTCTTCCCTGCTAGCTATCCTAAAGTACCACCTGTATGTTATTGAGGTTTATGAATTTGAAATATTTTCTTGCATCATGTATGATCATATCTTCTGGTATACATGTTTGGTCTGATGAATAGGAATTTTTTTTTCAGCATGTTTACTACCATTCTGGTGGACTTCGGCTCAATCCAAATTTGTATAGTTGTGGTAAAGTATGCCTTAGTCTTCTTAACACCTGGTCTGGTAATAAGAATGAGAAGTGGATACCTGGTATGTCAACCATGCTCCAAGTTCTGGTCTCTATTCAGGCTCTAATCTTGAATCAGAAGCCTTACTTTAATGAGCCTGGTTGGGCACATCAGAGTGGCACACCAAAAGGTGAATTATTGTCCCGGCAATACAATGAAGATACATTTATCTTGTCACTGAAGACAATGATCTACTCTATGAGGAGGCCGCCAAAGGTAAGTTGAAAGATTTATTTTTGATATTTCCATTGGCTTTTATGCTTTAGCGTGGTACTAATCACTTGCATTAAGATATTGGTATTGATGATAATATGGGGAAATTTTGTTCCACAATGCGAGTTAGAATGTATAATTACCATTGCTTCTCTTTGGCTTAAAATTCTAATAAAATCATGTTTGGCTGCAGCATTTTGAGGATTTTGTTGTGGGCCATTTCTACAGGCGTGCTCATGATATTCTGGTGGCATGTAAAGCATATATGGATGGTGCTCAGGTAGGTTGCCTGGTAAAAGGTGGTGTTCAGGATGTCGATGAAGGTGACAAGAGCTGCTCACAGAAGTTTAAGGACTCTGTGGCTGGATGTGCAAATATGCTTGTGAAAGAATTTACAGTACTTGGAGTCAAGGAATGTGAGAAATTCCTTACTGCCCCCAATTGTCAAAATAATCGAGTTTGGACTCCTTTTTGAAACTAAAATTTTGAAACTTTACCTGTATGGTTTTATTTATAAATATGCAAAGTTGTCTAATTGATTTCTTATCAAGTAACTTAGAATTGAATTGAGAAGTGTCGTATGCTTTCATTCGTAGGATGTTCACATGTAGTTTCAGAAATTGTACATGGATGTATATATGGATAGGAGTTATCGGTTCTTTTTCAATTTTTAAATCGTATGAAATCATTGTTTCATTAGAGGTGCTTAACGTAGCCCATATACTTAACAGAAGGAAGGATTATACTGTTACAGCTCTGCAGTTGGCCTGATCATTTGGCGATGAGGATTGCTGTGGCTAGGAACTGTTGCTGGAAATCTATGGCGTGTTCTGTTTCATGAGTGGTTGTATCTAGGGGTGTAATCGAATTAAATCGAATTGATACAGTGAGAAGCTCGAGCTCGGCTCTTAACTCGAGGTTTGATATTCGGTTCGAATTCGATCGAGTTTTATTTTTTTAACTCGAGTTCGATTTGTGATCGAAATCGAGTTACTCGAACTCGTTTGATTAGTATGTTAAAATAAGTTCGATTTTTATATTTGACAAGAGTTTGATTATTTATATTCGAGTTTGAATTCAAATTCGATATATTTTATTGATTAAAATAATTAAAAAAAATTTAAATATAAAAATTTGATTAATTTCGTGAGTTATTCGAGTCGAGTGTAAGAATGTTTGAATTTGATTCGATCGATAAATTAAGTTATTCGAATTCGATTCGATAATAATTGAATCGAATTCAAGTTTTACTTAAATCGAATCTGAATAGCTTGCGAGTATTAATGAATCATTTACCTTTTTAATTGTACAACTAAGGATTTTGAGAAATTTTAACAAGTATTCAGGTGGTTTTCCTGTTGATTTGGATGCAATGCGGAAGTTACTCTTTCTTTTTTAATTTCCTATTTAGTAGTGTAAAAGCTTTGCGCTTTGCAGGCTGATAATGTTTTTCGCGATAACAAAAGATAACTTTGAGATCTTCTGGATAAAGATTAAAAATAAAACGTATGAAAATATATATTTTTTGAACATGTAATGCAGACCTGGAAGGAAAATCCAATCCCAGATGTTTCTTTCCCCATGTTTTGCCTTTGCGGAAATTTCAAAGTTTTCCTTGATTCTGTCTTTATCAATGCTAAACTACAATGGATAGTGTAATGCAGATGAGGAAAGAAAGTAGCATCCAAATGATATGAAAAATATGAAAAAAACATTGACAAACTAAAGGAAACCATTTTCTTTGACTCATCTGAGCTTAAACTGTTTCATCTTCAACATTACAATGGAAATGAAATCTTCAATGATGCCATGGCTTTGTTATCCAATATTTTCATTTTGTTTATTGGTTTCTTTATAGATCCTGTCTCATGCATTAAAACTGAAGCATTATCTGCTGATACTGCAACCTTTTATTCCGATTATTGCTCTTCAATTGCCCCTGAATCAACCCCCGATTATCGTTATCATCCCACTTAAACGTTTTTTGGTCCTTTCCGGGAATACGAGACTGGTTATTACTGCTCTGGTGAATTCAAATTTAACCAGGTTCTTGAATTCATTCTAATTTCATACCGGATTGGTGCATATAAGTGATGGAGATAGGGCGTTCAAGATTGAAAGCAGCTTGGTGATTCAAAGCCCGTACTACGTGGGAAACATGCTATACAGGTCAGATATTTCCTCAAGAAATGCTTTGAGTTTGAAGTTACAAGGGTTCTGGTCAGAACCTTCTGGGAAGCTTTGTATGGTTGGGAGAGGCTCTACCTACTCCAAAGAAGGTAAGCTGTAAGTGGCAGATCCAGCATTTACTTATTATATATATATAAATAAATATAAAAAACTGCAATGAATTTATCAATTTTATCGACAAAAAGGGTCTCTAATAATAAGGATTACTTTGAGCCAGTTTCTTTGTTGATGATTGCACAATTGAGTTATAACTATACATTTGTTTCTGGGCAATTTGTGGATGGTTTTTCTGGTGAAAGTGATTCTGTTTGTTTGCTGTAATCATTTACTAGCAGCAGCCTTTTGGTGGTCGTTGCATTTTTCCTGGTAGATTTAGAGAGCTGAAAGCATATGAGAAGGTTCCAATGATTGGTGAATCATTACTCCAGAGAAATTCCAGCATGTTGAGTGCTATTTGCACTTGGTAGTACGTATTCTCTTATTTTTAACGCAGCAAAGGAAATATTGGTAAGGTCCTCTGGTAGAATATTGGACTCTTAATTTCAGTAATCAGGGTTCAATCTCTGGCTACTGAAAGGCTGCTCTCTAAAATTAGATCAGGTGTTATTGGAGATTTATTTAGACTCTGCCAAATCACTTTCTTCCATAACCATGAAAATGAAGCTGTAAAACCAATTTTCCTTGGTTTTAACTGATTTTCTTGCAAAATTGATAAGATATTTTTTAGCTTAGAAAATGCTAATCAATGTAAATTTCAGTTATAAACACTTTTAAGAGTTGCTTACTCCAGCTATTAAAAAAGAGAACCAAGTCTGTTCAAAACTGTTTTTAGTTGGTTTCCTATCGTTCTAGAGCAAAGTCGTTGCTGGGCTTCTCCCTTGGGTCAATTAATCTTCAATGAACTTTTTCCATCATTCATCAAATGACCACATTTCTGGAACTATCATTGCTAAAATTTACAGAAACCATGGATAATCTTGCATGGAGATGAGTTTTTTTTATGCCTCCATCACTACTCTAATGTATATTAGTATTAGGACTTTGAAGCTGCATGCCCTTCTGCATGGAAATCAATGTGATAAAACCATGGAACTGATGAAGTTTCTGCAGTTCTTCATGAAAAGAAAGCGAATCTGTATAACAAAAAAGTGAAAACCGAATCTTAACCTAGTTGGTTTGAACAATTAACTTTAAAAGGTGATATAAAGTAGGTCTGGCTTCAAATTCCACCACCTACAATTCCTTCCCCTATCCCAGACTACCGTCTAATTTGTAAAAAAGAAGAGTTTGAAATTAGAAGTTTGGTAAATATTTATTTACATTGTCATACATCTACTATACAATTCCGACAAATCGGGCAAGTTATATGATTTCTCAACCAATTATCTATACAATTGAAATGAAAAACATGTTTGCATACAGGAAAAACTCGGCATAGTTCTTCATCTTCAAAATCCTCCAAGCAAATGACACATTCATCTAATGTTTTTCCTAGGCTTCTGTAATTTACGAGGGGCAGACCTTTCTCCAAGTCCTCCGGGCTTAGCCCTTGTCTGTCTGTTAACAATGCCATGAATCCATTCAATATTTCCAACAACCACAGATTGTTGAGCATGGTTGCTTCATGAGACCAATCCGAAATATTGGTCAGAGATCGATGATCATCTATGTCTCCTAATTCAATATCTTGCTCGAATGTCTCGTTTCGAAGCCAACTATGAAATCTGTCAAGAGTATGATAGAAGAAGAAGAAGAGCATCAACCCTATAAGGCAAACAATGATCCAAGTTTGAAAGTCCCGAAGATTGTAAGTAACATTGGGAAGTGTTGATTGAGATTCTTCCAGGGCCAGTTTTTGAGAAAACAATGAATGAAGCATTGGTGGGAACTTGATTTTGTGATTATCATAAGGTGAAGGTGGTGAAACCATTCTTGATTTATTGAAATTGCAAGAGAAAAACGCAGCTGCTTCAATCAAAACCTGAAGAATTTTTTATTTGATCCCAACATTATAAAGGTTCTAGCTTTCAGCTGGGGTTGGAAAAGTTGGTTAATGAAGATATTGCCAAGCAATGTTATCCTTAATTTCCATAATTATGTTCTTAAAAACAATAGTTGTCAAAAACAGATTTTGTCTATCCATTGACTAGTTGGGCAGAATCTTAAACTTCATAAAAAATAGATAAAAACCATAAAAACCATAAAAATTGACCAAGTTGGGCAAAATCTCCATAAAAATAGACAAAAACCATGAAATCATAAACTTCATATTTACTACAAAATATAATGGAAAATCTTGCTTTCTCATATGTAACCATCATAAAAAAAAGAAGGCAGAAAAAACTTGATTACACATCAATGATAATAGAGAAAGCATCGGTCCTACAAAGTGGACATGAAAAGTTTATCTTCAGCCATTCTTCAACACAAGGCTTATGAAAAACATGGTCACAATTGACAAGAACACAGCAAACATCTTTTTCCTGGAAACTTTCCAGGCAAATAACACATTCATCACCAGCAGCACAGCTGATCAGTTTTTTTGGTCCTGGAATCGACAACCGGGTTTCGCAAACTGCTGGAAGAACATGAATCCGACGAGGAGTAGTACCATAACTTGTTTCACCTAATTCAATATCACCTTCACTATCATGATTTTGGAACCTGCTGAGGAACAAACCCAAACATTCAAAGATGATGTTGAAAAGACACCAGGCGGAAGCTAGGATGAAACCAAGATACGGTAACAATGTTACAGGTAAATCAGGAGACATGACAAAAAACTTTGTTGTTTTTTCTATGTGTTGGATCTATGGGTTAATTTCAATATCCAAATCTGAGTTGTTTTCTTATATATATATATATATATATATATATATAGTGTTACTTTTTCCTAGTTCTTGTAGGAATAGATTTTGGGTTTTTGTTAAACCAACAAGGAAAAGTAAAATGGCTTTATGGACGGAACTCAAGTTTAAGGGTTTTTTAAGGATTTACCAAAGATCTTAATTTCATATTTTTACTAAATAATTTGGACTTAACTTGAATGACAAGTAATATTAAAGATGAAAATTTTGGATTTGAAGATTTCATTTAATATTAGAGACTATCAAAATTTAAAATTTGATAACTCAAATTAAAAGCTCAATATTAAATTTAAACTTTGATTCATACATTTCTCTTGTAAATTTATTTTTTAAAAATTGTATTAAGTTGTTGATTAATTAGTAAATTAGTGTCATATATATATATATATATATATTCTATGTTGATTAGTGATATAGGACAAAGTACCCTTAATTTTCATTAAAAAAATTCATTTATCTTTAGAGGGTCAAAATTTGTATCCATATTTACTTTGTAGTGTTAAATATGTAAACTATAGAGTATGGTTATTTAAAAAGAAAATAAATGAAAGCTACAATTTTAATTTGTTATTAGTAAGTTAACTACTCATTCAAGTCAATAAATGTTTTTACAATTTTGAAAAAAAATGATTTTCAAAAAATTATAATTAAAGATTTGGACTAAATCTAATAATTTTAAATTTATTATAATGATACAATACGAAAAAAATATAAAAATAAAAAATTGAAAAAAAATATAAGTTTAAAAATATTAAAAATATGCCTTGTGTTTAAGTATATAAATATAAATTATGTAAAATAATTTTTGTGTTTTATATGTATTTTTTATATATATTTAACATAAATAAAATATTATATAAATATACAAATTATTTAATTTAATTTGGATGTTCATAGAAACCCATAGAGTCAAAATTCATATATGTCCAAAAAATTGAAAACTTTAAATAGGTTATTTCAATAAAAAAAATAATAATGGACCTTTTTAAAATTTAAATAATAGTTCTCTTTTCTTAAAAGGAAAATTGTAAAAAAAATATATATAAATCCTACGTGGCTTAAACATTCCCTCAAAATTCAAATCTACCCGCCCGGACAATAAACCCTAATTTCCCCAATCCCCAAAACCCTAACCTTTCCGTTCAATGGAACCCACCCCCACCAATTCGCAACCCATCCCACACAGACCTGCAAACCCTAATTTCCCCAATCTCCTTTCACCTATATCAAACTTCCTTTCAATGGAACCCCGACTCCCCACCAATTCGCAACCCATCCATTACGAAACCCTCTTTCCCTGCCGCCGAATCTCCGCAGTCCAATCAACCCCCTCTTGAGCCGTACACTATCTTCCGCAACGAAATCTCTCTATCAGCTGAAAGTCCCATCTCCATGGACTCAGCTGCGACGGATTATTTCTCGCTTTATGTTAATGAGCCGGCTGAGCCGGTGCCAGTACAGGCTCCGATATCGGCTTGCGATGAACCGGAGCCGAAGACGCTGGGTATAGTGGATGAACCGAGGCTTGAGAACAAGTAGTGGTTTCATCGGAATAGTAGGTTTAAAAGTCCAATGCTTCAGTTGCATAAAGGTTTGGTAACTGTTTAAGCTTTTTTATTTTTATGGGAAATTTTGAATTTTTTGGATTAATTTACTTCTTTTTTCAGGATTAGAATCTGATATGTGGTGATTAAACATAGTTGAAATTTGGTTTTTTTTATCCTCTTACAAAACTTTGGGCCTGCTTTATTGCTGTTAAATTATTTCCATTGCCTTTAAGTTCAATGCTATATCAGTTCTTTTAGTAATGAATGTAGCTGGGATTGGAATTTTAAAATTTTCAATTGAGGTATCCTTTGATAAATTTTGTATCTTACCTTGGTTTGTGTGCTAGTACTTGATAATTCAATTTGAGCTCTGTCTTCTGCTTGAGTGCTTGTTACTCTGATTTGTTTGATTTTGTGGCACACTTAGTTTGGTGGGTATGATTGTCAAGAAAAAAATATGAAGGGTTGCATGTGTGATTGTTGTTATGGTGCTTGAATTTATGAGTAAAGAGTAAAAGATTGTTGGTCAGCAGGATTAAATAATATATATATATATATGTTTAGCTTTTTTTATTGAAATTATTTATGTTTGTATTGCTAGGGTGCTTGTAGTTAGTAGATGGTGATAAACATTCTTGAATGCCATTTTTATGAGTTTGTACATCATAAGAAGATTTTAAACGTTACCACAATGTTGGTCTTACTGAGATAGTGGACTTCTGTGATTTTCTATCTTCAACTCCGGAAGAGCCAGCAGTACGTGATGCAGCTGTAGATTCTGTTTTTGATGTTATCAAATACGTATGGCCTGCCTGCAGGGTATGATTAGCGGCCTCTCTTTGTCTTATGCACAAAAGCACACGCATATAAACATGCACACATATTGTACAATGCCAAAAGATTACAAATTTTTTCTTTGCAGCCTGAAGCTTTTAGGTCATTCAGGACAGGACTTTATTTACCAACAAGTGATATTGATGTGAGTTTTATGTTCCCTATTATACCATGAAATTTATGTCAAGCAACTCAAATTCTGTCAATGTCGAATCCTGTTATATTATAGCATGCAGTAACATATTTGACGGTTTTTCATTAGGATATTAAGTATATGGATTTTCAAATATGGAAAGAGAAAGAATAGGAAGGAGAAAACTGACCAAAAGGTTTTTGAAAACATAAAAAATATTATAGCGCAACTGTTTTTATACATTCTCTCCTGCCTTGTGTGATTGGTTTTAGTAGTTATTTGTTTATTCTGTATATAGGTTGTGATGCTAGGGTCAGGTATAAACAATCCACAGACTGGCTTGCATGCTCTTTCTAGGACATTATCTCAAAGGGGAATGCAAAAAATTTGCAGGTAATTTCTTTGTCTGGAAAGTTTATTGATACAAAATAGTACATTACCTAACAATTCAATTCTTATCAGGTGGTTGCAAAAGCGAGTGTGCCAATAGTTAAATTTGTAGAAAAGAAAAGTGGTGTTGCATTTGATATAAATTAGTTCTGTTTTCCTCCTGCATTGCTTTTGGATTGATTTGAATATCAAATTTGCTCCATATTCTACTTGCTTGGCAGCTTTGTTGTCTGTTGGAATCTTGATGTGTACTTTACACTTTTAATATATATTTGTTCAAAACTTACTCTATTATAATATATATTTGTTCGAAACTTATTTCATTTTCTTGTCCACATATATTTTAACCCAAAATCTCTTTTACGAAATTTCTTTTTGCCTCCAAATATTGCTGAATTTGTTTTAGTATCAGTTAATTTTGGTATGAATATCATCATATAAGACACTGAATCAAATACGCGACTATAATGATAAGGCTTTTTTGGAAGTTATAAATACAGGACTTATAAGTTATCTTCATGGGATTTCTTTTGAGGTTCATGGAAATTGTGGAAGTCCAAGTATTTGGATATTACGAATTGGAACTAATCAACATTTCAAATTAGCATTTGAATATTAATAGTCTGTGAGGCAAAATGCTTTGCCAGACAGGATTTTTTTTTAAAAAATTTGAGGAAGGTGAGATTGTAAAGAATTCAAGAACTAAAACCTCTGTCATCATTTTTGTCTTTAATCATGTGAAGAACTTCTGTTGACTTAGATTCCTATCTCTTTTGATTTTTTTATTGACAATATTTGATGGGATCTTAGAACTTTATGAGGGTGGCGACAGGTTTAGTTCCTAGTCTGACATAAAACATAAGTGATAAGTGTACGAGAGACAGTTGTTTTATCTGCATTTTGATTTGATGATGTGGCAGTTTGAAACTATGTTTCATGTTTTATTTGGCAGTGCTGTCTCACGGTTTAATATTTAGTTGGGTGTTCGATACTGCAGTTTTGATGTGGCTAATGGGCCAAAAGCTGCTGAGTTTATCAAGGTTTGTTGCAATTATGTTCTTTCCTGTGCTCTGATGTTTCATTTGTCAGTTTTTGATAGTGATGCTTAAAATGTAGTTATTCTAATCCCCTTTTATTAGATGAGGTCAAGTATGTTGGAGAGGACTGTAGTCTTTTTCTTATTAGGTTTGCTCTCAGTCAAGATTCATATTTGGCTGCAATTGTACTTGAGGACTGTGCTCTTGTGTCATAGTTTAATTGTTTGCTAGATTTATTCTCACCGATGGGAATCATAGCTTATTTTTCTTTTATTTCCTGTTATCTACTTTTGGATTCTTTGATTAAAATTTTATAAATCATTTTGATGTGATTTGTACATGTCTACAAACTTGGGACTTTTTATGGTTTTTCTCTGGTGTATTGAAGCTCTGCTTCCATTAGATTATTTCTTTGAATGTTCCATAATCATAGGACTTTTTGTGGATTTTTCTCTGTATTTTCTAAAGTTAAACTATGCTTTTGTTTTTTCTGGTAGGAAGCAGTACTAAAATGGCCTCAATCACGGCCATTGTGTTTGATCCTGAAAGTATTTTTACAACAGAGAGACCTGAACGAGGTTTGAGTTTGTCTATACTGAAACATCATTCCTTTTCCTCTAAAAATATTGTCATTCCTCTGTGCCTGTTTTGAAACGCTATTGAAACTATGCAGGTATATTCAGGTGGAATAGGTTAATATGCTCTCCTTGTGATGCTTATCGCCATGTTGCAGGTAAGCAAAATTCTTGTCATGTTTAAATTTGCAATATGAGCAATAGGCAGATGTGCAGTTGCTTCTGCTTGGCACCTATGAACTCAATCCAATAATCTAAGACATGTTATATTATTTACAGCGATTCTGTTATCCATGGTACTTGTGCTTCTAAAAATTTTAATAAAATAATGAAAGATATGCACCACAATAAGCACTTTTAAATTTCCAATAATGATTGGACTCTAGCACCTTTCTTTTTTGTCCCTGTTTTATTGGTGTTGCCTAACCTATCATAAACCATTTTGTGCTTCAGAGTCTGCATGAATCCCAAGATTATCTGGAACATAACTTGGGTATGCTCTTGGTATGTGTGCTTAGAAACCATACTTTTATCTTTTGCTGCCTTTTTAATCCGAACCTTTTGTGATAAAAGAACATAATAGAAAAGAAAAGCAGACATGCAAACTTACAAATGTGTTTATTTTGGAAATTAGGTACACTTCTTTGATTTTTATGGACGAAAATTGAACACTGTGGATGTTGGTGTGTCTTGTAAAGGGAGAGGCATATTCTTCTTTAAGAGTAGCAAAGGCTAAAAGTAAAAGTTTTCCTTCATGCCAAAGTGATCACTTTTCATCTTCAAATACCGGTGACTAAAATTGTATATCCTTCTTTTTGGTTTGATTCTCCTTTAGGTTTTCAAAAAAGAGACAACCATTTCTCATCTGCATTGAGGAACCACAGGTTGCCTTGAATATTTTCACTTGTTGCCTTCTAATTTGAGGAATGCTAGTGGCAATCACAGGCTTCCACACTTGCAACATTCATGCTTCCTTTGATTGCTGAGTCATGCTAGTTTTTTTCCCCATTTGTTTCTATCAATATATTCTTTAATGATGAAACAGGCTCCAGACAATGACATCAAGAAGAACTCATTTAACTATATCCAGGTTAATGATTTTCTCTTTCTAGTCCACTGTTTTAAGGGGAAAAAACCCTACACTCCTGGCTGCCCTCTTCCCTTCTTTACCAAAGGCACAATTAATTTCCTATTCATGCAATAAACAGCTATTTGTAGGATAGTTGACTTTAAGGTTTGGTTTGTAGTGAGAATATTATATATTGTCTTGCAGATTAGATCTGCTTTCAGGATGGCTTTTACCACCTTGACCAATCCAGAGACCATCTTGTCTCTGGGCCCCAATAGAAGCATTCTTGGTACCATAAATAGATTGGATCCGCTTTTGCTTAAGCGCCAAGGAGGATCCAACGTGTGTGTCACTTTTAGCAGCTTGCTTCCTGGAGCTGGGGAGCCTTTACCGACACTGTATGGACAGCAGCAGGACAATTTGTGCAATTGGCAGTTAGATGATGAAGAACCACTGCCTCGAGGAGATGGAAATGCGCAGACATTAGTGCTCAATCCTCCGGAAAAAAGAGGAAATCTTCTTCCAAAGAAAGGCACAAAAAGAAAAAAGTATAAGAAAATAGTGATACAAGAAAGTCTGGCATGAAGAAACAGTCTTAAAGAAAGAGAAGCATACGAGGAACGAGAAAAGTTCTAGACAAAACATTAAATATAGTGACTGTGATGCCAATGGCTTTGGTCGTCAAGATGGT